TTATTTACACTGCGGTCAAAGTTTTAGTTATCTACAATTATTTACATTTTTTTTTCAGTTACTATTCAAAAACATTATTTGGTTTACTTTTGACGACGTAAGCCTTGTGAGTCTATCCGATATTAAATCCGAATGGCAAAACTCTTCATACACTCCTACGTGTCTTTGCTTTAAGGTGAAGCTTTAAATTTGTAATTGTACTTTTGAAAGATAAAGTTTTTTAATTGCACACTGCTTGTTTTTCGTCCACACTTTGGACTTAGACTTAAAATAGTTTCAAATGGCTGCAGTACGCTGACGCAACATTATTATATACTTTTACATACAACACGCTAAATCCTATCTATATTACACTAAATATTTAAAATTACTTGAGGAATAAAACTTAACGAAAAATAAACAAAAACAACAATAGCTTTTTCACGTAATATGCGGACCTGCTATCAAAACATTACGTATATAATTTAACAGATAACAGTGTCATTGTCATCTCAGCTAGACAGCTAACTGAACACTAAACACTAATATATTACAACAGCCAAAAAATTAAATAACAGGCACAACAGGCAACAGCTAGCAATGAAAGAAATAATATATTTTTGTTTACCGTTATAATTTAGTGTTAGTAAAATAAGCTCTTATTAAGTTAGCTTAGAGTTTAAATTAGTGTGAGCTATACGCAATCCTTGTGGTATAATGAATGTAGTATTTTATTGACTCCCATTGTGGTGCTGCGTCTCGGCCGACGGCTGGAGCGCAAACGTAAACAGATGACGTTTTCTAACGATAATGAACTATATAACAGTCAATGGTTCATTATTCTAATGTGTTGTAAGATTACAAATATATAATGAAATATATTATCTGTTGTATGTTATAACGCCCAACTTTATCCACGGGACGACTGTTATAAAACTCAGGATCAGCCAAGTTTATGTTTTCCATAAATTACCATGAAGGCTTTGCGAACGATGGGTTTGGCAAATGTTTAATTAGGTTATTCATTATATAAACATTAGTGTTGAAAGAATAGTCATTAAACATGGTACACGTAATATTTAACATGCCCTTACAAATGTTTTCTTTTTCCCGACGCCATATATAACTCCCTTGCAGTGCTGTTTTTTCAGGCCTAAGGTTTGTGCGGCATTTTCAGAGATAAGCGAAATTTGGGTGTCTATAAGTTTGTTCCATCCAACGCCATAACTTTAACCAAAGTCGTCGATAGTATAATTTCTCCTTCTAAATTATTTTGTGACACGTGCGAAGTGTTTGTCACGTACTGTTTAGGTTTTTTCGCAACCTGTGCACCGGATATGGACTTAGTGCACGCGTCATGTAACAGAGTATTATGTTTCTGCAAGCATTTGCGGCACCGTTGTGTTGAAATACATGGATTTCCGTTATGGCTAAATAAACAATTTATGCAAAGTTTCAATTTTTTGGTGGTTTTCAATTTAATTCCATTCGATATATTTAAAAATGTTTTGCAATTGTAAATGCCATGATCATCATTACAAAGAGGACATTTTATACAGTAACGTATATGGTTTTGCAATCGGTTTGTTTGTCGTATTTTGATTAAAATTAAATTGCTTTTTGTAATTATTACTCGATGTTGAATTGAAGTTATGTTGAGACTGACCGTTTAATTTTGATGTATTATCCTGTTTTCGCCGACATAACTCAAGTGCTGTAAATTTGCTTTCTAAGTAGTCCAGAAACTCCTGTAGCACAGGTAGATCTTTGGGCCTCTTTTGCGATTCTATATATCCTGTATATGTTTCCATGTCTAATTTTTGCGACAGTGTGTGACTAGCAGCGGATCCCATGTGCTAATATCTACGCCTAAGTTTTTGATAGCGTTTAGGAATTCTAAAGATGTATCATGTAATTTTTTAATTTGATTTACCGCTTGCTGCTGAATATTAGGGAAACCAAGCAATAGGCTAATGTGAGATACGAAAATTCGTCGCTTGTTGTCAAACCTATGATTTAGAATTTCCCAACAGGTTATATAATATTCTGAACTAACATTCAAATGCTGTATTAAACGCTCTGCATCCCCTCGGAGTTTACTCTTTAAAAATTGAATTTTTTGAGCGTTTGAAAGCGACGGGTTGTTGTGAACGCTTTCCGTGAAAAGATCTTTGAATGGTATCCATTGGTTATAATTGGCGTTAAACGTAGTGATATCCATTCTAGGCGTACAGCTTTCTCGGGGATTGACAGACCACATTTTGGAATTGAGTTTTCTCTTCAAATCCATAAACACTAAACCTATTCGTATATACTAAAAGTAGTAGTATATTCTTCGTCATCCCCATTGAGATCATGATCAATTTCCCAATACAGAGAATCTATAGCCGACCATCGCGACTAATGTTTTTAAAAAATCTTCGAATTCCCATTTTTCCGTAATGTCATTTATGTTTATGCAACTAAGAGACCTTTTAAATGCCTTAAAATTAATATATTGTTTTCGCAACATGTCATAACTTACTGGTTGCTCCTTGATGTACCTGTGGGCGGAGAGCCTCTTGTGGCTCCGCCGATTTTCCCGAAGACGGTTCACCTAATCCACGCTGTTCCACTTGTTGAGTTGTTTTACCATCAAGGGCTGGATAATACTTCTGGCTAGCCAGAAAATCCTGATACTGCAAATTTATGATTTCTTTTACCGAGTTATATTGCTCCCTTGCAATTTCGTACTCGGAGTTTGTAAAGTAGGGATGTGTACGACTCTCACTTTTTACTAGTTGACTGTGATTTTTCTGATAATCTTGCCAGTACGATTCCAAAACCTCAAGTTTTCTTTTAAAATAATCTATTGTTTTACGCTCTGACCCATCTTTTTTTAATATTGACACCAATTTTATGAATAGCCTCTACAATCTCGACCTGATTAGCGTGTACGTTTTCCATGTTGCTATTAAATGCAGAACTGTAAAAAAATTAAAGATCTTACTTTGACACCGCTGATTACTGCTGACGTTGCTTCTTGGCCTAGACAATCTGCTGCTTGGCCAAGCCAAATGTTGTGGATGTTGAGCAAGATGACCACTGTTATGTTTGAGTTTAAAATGATCGCTAGTTCTCACTGTCACGTCACTGTCTTTGACACACTGGAGTCCAATAGACTTGTCGAAGGACCCAAAAATGTTTATTTTTCGCTCGAAGGACCAAAAATGTTCGGGTATTGGACGTATATTTAATAATAATCAAAATGATATATAAAAACACTTTAATAAAGAAGTTAAAAATATAAGATTAAAATATGTTAAAAAATGTTAAATGTTAATGTTATGTTAATGAGCTCGCGTCCGTCGCAGTTACGGTGATTACGTGAACTAACTTAATTTTTATAAATGTCGAACTATAGCGATTGCTTCACGTAAAATGTTAACGCCAGCAGAAATGTACGGTTGGACCGTACACTATTATTTATTTTGTGCCTCTGGTAACTGGTATTACCAACTTGTGCTTGTTCTTACTATTTACAGAATGTACATCACTATTGTTTTATTTGTTTTGTCACATCAAATTTTCGTAAATATATCGAGAGGTCAAATTAATATATTTTTTTTAATTTTCTCTGAGGGATTCGCATTACCCCATAGAAAGATTTACGACATTATGCTATACAAATAACAAAATTAAACGAATCTAGGTATTTCGACACAACATGTCCTTACGTTCGTTGAAACAGCTCTAATTGACACAAATTTTTACAGCAGTAAATATAAAGTTGTTCCAATTAGTTATATCTTTAATTTCTAGTAAAAATGTTTTTCTTTGTATTATGTCTCTACTTATTATTTGACTTTTTATTAATACTTTATACTATCACAAGTACTAGCCGGTATTTTCTAATTTATTTAAAAAATAGACTTTTTTAATTCATGATTCATATTATTCCCTAAAAATATTTTTTTAATAAATAAATAATTATTAAAAAAAGGAAACGTTATCCAAACACCACGGTAAGGTACATAACGCCATATCATTGAAACAATGTCGAGCAAAAAAAATTTGATTCTGGTTGAATTTTTTTTTACATTTTGCTTTGTTCGAAAGATTCGAATTTAAATTTGTGATAAAGAACTATGTTGTAATGAAATATACTCGTAGATAACTTCATATTATTTTTTTGGATTTACGTAAATGTTATTTTAAATACTCGTAGGTCACTTGTAATTCCCTTTGTCTACTCATGTGCTTGTACAAAGTTATTGCGGAATGATTAATGTAACCACAGAATAAATAATAGAACTACGTAGTTAAACGTCAAAAAATTTCTTTTAGATTCGGTGGAGTATAGTGAGTTTTTTCGCCAAAGACTGTTAGTCTATTTTATTTACTTAATTAGTACTTAAATAGGTTCATCTCAGAGGTAATCTCAAATGTAAATAAAACGATGAAAAAATGATAATTATTCGAAACACATTTTAACTGACTTAATTTTTTGTCATGAAAATATCATCATCAACAACAACATTACAGCCCTTCACAAGTCCACTGCTGAACATAGACCTCCCCCAATGAATAAAGAATCCTCATGACAATATACTACCTTTAAAATCGTAAACTGTATATAGTTATACATAATATAGTTCTCATCTTTTATAATATAATTCCGTGGCGCAGTGGCTTAGCAATGAGTTACAGCACTAAGAACCGCTGGCTCGAATCCCGCACGAAACAAGTGAATTTCATGGTCTACAAGTAATTGTTCCGGGTCTGGATGTTTGTTATTGTGAAATTTATGTGTGTGAACTGCCCCCACAATACAGGAGAAAATTCTAGTGTGGAGGTAGTAACGTTTAAAAAAAAGAATAGAAAAAGAATTATAGATATACTTCTTCATGAAAATATGTCGTTTATCACGAATTTTTAATTAGTTACTTTGTAATCTAACGAATTTGCATTTAAATAATTTTAAATTTTACAGTTGGACGACCTAACTTAACTCAAGTAAATAGTTGGTTAACACAACTTACTTTTGGCGAGATGTACCCTTTGCGAGAGCCTCGCAGTCCTCCATGTTTTGTGGCATGCTGCAACCCGCAGTCTCCGGCAGCAACAACGCCATTGCGCCCCCAATAAAAGCAACAACTGACACTATGATGAGTGGCAACCCTTCCCATGCTCGTTCCTATTGTCATTAATAAGTTTAGTATTACAACAAAGTAGTGCGACGACTGGGTTGTTGTTACATCGTGGACTTCCACTACTATTCGCGGCGCCTCTTTGTAATAAGGTGAAATATTTGACATGTTTCATGATGGGGAAGTTAAATTGTTAGAATAATGTAAAGATTAATTAATTTATTTTATTAATTACAACAAAGCAGACAAACACATAAAAATATATACATACACACACGTAAACATATTGGGTGATTTTTTTTACCGTCTGGAAAAAAGGGTGTAACAGGGTGAACGGAATAGAAGCCTATGGCACTGATATTTTACATTTTATTTTTATTTTACGTTAAAGTATTATGAAATTGATCTATTAATAAATACTACTAATTTGAAATAAACTTACGGTACTAAAAGAATAACAACAAAATTTTTGAACTAAATAAATAAATCAATTAAAAACTATCGAAATTAAAATGATAAGCACCCAATTATTAAAGTATTATTTATTGATAGATCAATTTCATATTATGTTAAGGTAAAGTAAAGCTAAATCATCCAGTATATGTAATAAAAAATCAAAAATGTTGAGTTGAGTCAGAGAAGAGCAGCTTGAATGTTAAAGGATTTCCCAACGTAATTTGTGAAATGTGGTGGGATACTTAATTTATAATTAGACCAAAAACGCAGAATTCTATCATGCATTAATAATAATAATAATAATTTGTTTATTTCTCCTCACAAATACCGACCATACATAATAAAAACTTATATCTATTTAAATACAGGTATGTTCATACTCATAGCCTAGAATCTGTGAAGAGCTGGTGTTTGAAATAGGCAATAAAATGCCTGTATTACAAATCATCAGGTCTCCACCCCATGAGATATAAATAAGAGCATTATTTGTAATTGAGCGCTACATATATTGTAGATCGTAGGATCATAATGTATTATTTCGATATAAGTGACAATTTAATTTATATGTAAAACAAAAATTGTACTAAGAAAAAAAAACAAAGTAACAGTGGTTTCGTAACCTCATATATTGTGTGTGCGTGTGCGTGTGCATGCGTGCGTGCGTGCGTGCGCGCGCGTGTGCGTGTGTGTGTGTGTGCGTGTGCGTGTGCGTGTGCGTGTGTGTGTGTGTGTTGTGTGTGCATTGCATTGAGGGAAGGTATTGAAATTTGTCCCTGAGATAAGAAGGAATGGGTTGATCATTTAAGATAGAGAAGAAAACAAGCAAAATTCTGTGAGAAATTTAAGGCGAGAGCTGTAGTAAGAAATATGATCATACTTACAAAGACTGAAAATAAGTATATCGGATGCAATTATTGAGAACGTGCTCTAGCTTGTTAAGAAGATTTTGGTTTAAATCTGGGTATCGCACGACTCTATAATCAATAATCTATAGTATAAATATTAATGTTCATTTTTGAAATATAAGCTATAATTATAGTAAAGTAATTAAATGTAATAAAAAAACGACGGACATTCCCAAAAGTAGAATTTAAAATAGATTTAAGTAAAAATGTGCAAAAATTAAATTACACACCACTGAGGCTTTGTTTTGTGTAAATATCTACACACTAAAATCCAAAAACATTTACTTAAAAACCAACTTTTCAGTGATAATATTTCTGTGTAACAAAAACCTTCACCTCAGCCCGAACCAGTGACATCTGGTGAGCGGAAGATTAATCTGTTAATAATTATAATAATTAATTATTGATCTTTAAGCTACCGTATTTTCTTCATAATTTAAGTTATTTTAGTAAAAAATGTAAGTGAAAATTCAAACATATTCAAATAATTAAGAATTATTATAACAATTCGTAGGTACTTAGTTAGGAAGTAGTAAGTATATAGCGTGAATTCGTCTGCCGAGCAATAAAATTGTGGAAAAATCGTTCCTACAACAGGGAGATCACTGTCAGCTGTGAACTTTAATGGGCTGATGAAAATAGATTTCTGAACCGAAGTAAAGACAGCCAAACCTCCTCCGAAAGCAAGCAGACAGCCACTCACCGAGTAGACGATGAATGGTGTGAACATGACGGCCCCGAAGGCGCTGATGTGCACGAAGGAAGAGCCTGAGGCGCGGGCTGCAGTCGGCATGAGCTCCGGCGTCCACTGGATCACCGCGCCGTACGCCATGTTCGTGAGAAAGCGTGCGGCAACCGCCAGAGATACACTCACCGCACCTTCATACCAACAATACATGTGGGCAAAGACTATGTATTCCACGAGACGGGCACTACGGTACTTACATTGCCCACACTACATGTGGGCAAAGACTTCTGTATTGCTAGTACTCCATGTGGGCGCTTTTGTAGAGGGACGGTACTAATACATTGCGCACTAAGTTACGGTTCATTCTCCTTAACTTTTTTAGTCCACTGCGAGCGACCGAGAAGACCAGTTCTTTGTTTTGTAAACAACGAACGATGTTTTCGACAGTCTAACATTAATTTTGTTTTGTGTGGCTGAGGAAACGCTGTCATTATTTATTTGCGCACTAGTCAACGTGATTTAAAGTTTATTTCATATAAGTATGCAATTTTATTTCGTATTTGCCTAAAAACAATAACTGTCGTAAATGAAAATACAACTGCGTGGCATATTGCCGTATCAGCTCAGCAACAGATTCACAACTTTGACACAATTTTGGTTTGAATCGATCTAGTAGTACATAGAAGTCATTGAAAGTGGGGACACCACATACACACACAGATCTAACAGCAAATTCACACACCATAAAATCCTATCAAAAATCCACTGCTGGCATAGTTTTTTATTTTGCTATTATCGGGAAGATGCTACTGCCCATCTCTCCGTCCAGCTTTCCTCCGTCGCCTCTTACGACACCAATGGGATGATATTGGATAGTGGAAACAATTTTAGATTTTTTCAGCCCAGTGGCGCATGCAAGCATCTTGTATGATTCACACTGTTACATTTATGTTATGGCTAAATGTGGTTATACGTTTCTGTGTCTGTTTCGGTATTTCAGAAAAACATCAACCACGACTCACGAACCATTAAACGTGAACACTTTAACATTTTAAATGTGTACTTCATGCAATATACATATAATATATGTCAATAGAACAACTATGGCTGAACAACTGGTTTAGAAAATAGAATCAGATAAACCGTAATAGTGTTTAATCCTTAGATCTACGTCTGTGGGAGAAACTAAAAGTCTATAACCACATATATATGCACTAACTAATCAATAGTGTTAATCTCTGTGAACTAAAATAAAGAGGTCTGAAACAGAACAATAGTATTAATTGACATTGGGCTACAGCGGCATATTCGTGAGCCGCTGACAGCGACACGTGATATATTAATAAAAATATGTCTGAAAGCTCAATGCATGAAGAAACTTGGTATTATTAGCTTTAAGAGAGATATCGATAACCTCAGAAGAATACGAGTAACCGACCCTACATATGTTTATATAGGTAACGCCTCGCTGTAGCTATATTATGGTTGCAGCACGAATGCATCAGCTCGATCGGGGAAAGACCACGCTCTCACAGAATACCAGCGTTAAATGGCTGCTTAATGCCAGCAGCTTAAGTTCTTGAGTTGTTGATTGAGTGTAGAGAACCCATGCCCTGATTTTACAGAAAACGAGGCATTCCATTTTAGTCATCAGGGGTGATAAAGCATCTGCATTTTGATTCTTTATTGAGGATAAATGTGGATATTTATAGGCCCCAACGTCCACTTACCATGAAGTGGTCCATGTGCTCGTTTGTTACAATTATTCTATAAAAAAAGCTATCATTCTATTTCAATAATATATTACTGTTTACTTACCACGAGGTACAAACGCTGTTATAAAAGCCAAAACGCCCGACAATATTATCGGAGCAAACACAAGCATTCGACGGCCGAATCTGCACGTTATTAAAATTAAAACACGATAAGTTGCAATACTTGATCAGCTCCGCTAAATAACATATCTGGAAAAGTTACAGCAATAGGTGTGATCTATTATATAAAAATCAGTTGCCGTGCGTTAGTCTCGCAAGAATTCGAACATGTTTTGACCGATTTTGGTGAATTTTTTGTGTTTTTGAGTGGTTCCATGGATGGTGTATTTTCACAATAATTGGGCCAAAAAATTGGATTCAAAAATCGCCTGTGCGAAGCCGGTCTCTTTACTCATGTGAAGCCGCGGTGGATCGCTAGATTGAAAATTAGTAAAGATATTTTTATGCCTGTTAAAGCCTCAAACATATATGTACCTTTTTTAATTAAATTCGGCACACAGACCACTTGGCTCTAACATTTGTTAATATGTATGTATATCCTACATTAACATATGGGATATAAAACGGGAGCATAAATGTTCATTATCATTATTCCTGTTTGGCTAATCCACATTGTTCGCATGATCGTAAATCTTACAAGGTCGTTAATCCATCGAGTAGAGACCACCCTAAACCGCGGGCCATCCCAATCGGTTGTCAATACTCCGAGCTTTGTGGCCGGCCCATTGCCACTTCAGCTTACTGTCTTCAGCCTACTTAAAGTAAAAGTAATCACTAGAAAATGATGGTATTTAAGCGTGATTGAACCCGCGGACAGAAGCTATAAAGTATATTACAGATTAATACGACAGCCACTCTCTTGCTAAGATCACATCCGATAGATGACGTTAGAACTATCTCGCATATGCGAGATGTAAAATACCTGGACCTCACGAAAAGAGAATATGATATTCACTACTTACGTTTTACACAACAGGGAATATCATCAAAAAACGAGATGCTAGACGTCCAATACTGCGATCTAAACGAGACAGTGCACATGACAAGCGTGGCAAATATGGCAGGTCCTCTATACAGTGGAAGAGGCCTATTCCATCTATAAAACCCTAAACCTCTAAATTAAAGGCTAATGTTTTTTTTTTTTTTACAAACGGAACTTTTCACGTATCGTTGCAGCGTTTTACATACATAGTACCTATACATAGCACAAATTCTAAGAAGTGGTAAAAATTATTTTTAGCGCATAAAAAACACTTCGTAGAATATACCATCAGGCATCGCTGAAGTCAAAGGATTAAATTTTTTTCAAAGTTACCCCGTTTAATTAGAAAACGTTGCACTAGGATTTTCTCCTGTATCGTAGAGGGCGTTTACGTACATAAATTACACAAGAAATACGTCCAGATCCGGAACAATTATTTGTAGGTCATACAAATACTTGTTCCGTGCGGGGTTCGAAACCCGTAGCCCTCAGCGCCGTGACTCATTACTAAGCCACAGAGCCGTAAAGTTTAATCCCCTGTAGTACCATGCATCCAGATTTAAATTAAATCGAAAATAAAAAAAATCTCCTTTGATTTCTGATTAAATTAAAAAAAAGCTTCACTAACCTATCCAACAATACCACCAGCAAAGCGACCGAGGGTATCTCCGTAGCCGAGGTGACGGTGAATGTGAGAAAGAAATCCAGACCGAGGTTCTCCGACATACGGATAAGTCCATCAAAAATCACCGCCACCGCCATAAAGACTATCACCAAGAAGCCCAGCATCTTGCGCAGTGGCGGCGTCTTCAGAATTACACGCAGATTCTCTTCCTTCTCTTTTGTTGTCAACGCAACCAACTAGAGCGAAATATTTGCTAAATTAAGTAATATTTTCTAGATTTTGGGCCTTTTCAGTAAAGTTTTAAATATTTAGGGCTTAAAAACTATACAGCAATGCTTATCGATCATGACATGGCTGTAATGATAACTTATTTATTAATCTATGGTTCTATGGTAACTATCCTATTGGGTCATATTATGAAACTGTTATATTGTCATCGGTTCTTAAATACGTCTGCAAAATTTTCTGATTATTTAAACGCTCGGAAGTGAGTGGTCAATTTTAAATCTACCATATTCAAGATAAATTAATTTTGACAAATAGCACTATAAAATTAGTTAGCCTAAACTAAAAAAACATTGTCCTTTTTTAATTTTGTGCCTAAGCCTTTCTCGAAAATTAAAGGGTAGGATCCGAATCAAATCGAATATTAGCGCGAACATACGTGCAGACAAACGCAGCTCGGGACATAATTTGTAACATATAAAGTCATATAGATTTACATATTATTATGTGGATCAAAAAAAAATAATAAAAAAATTACATTGGTAAATTTAGATTTCTTACAATAAAATCATCCAATACTTTCTGTGGAATTTTTGATTTGTTTACTCTCTCGAACTTTTTCAGCAGCTTTACCGCGTCATCTACTCTGCCTTTTGACACCAGCCATCTGAAACATTTTGATATGTTATCAATACACACTTTATTATTTAATAATACTCTATAGATAGTTACATACATATAAAAACTTTTGTTTTTTCATGACCTCCATTTCAGTTCACATTCTTTACTTATCACCATTCATTATATTTTTTGCAGTGTGGGTAGCCAAAATAATACATACCTCAAAAATTGCATTTGGAATCTCGATTAACGTTCCGAAATTAAAGTTCTGTTTTATTAATAAAAAAGAAGATGTAAATGTAAATTTAAATTAAAATTCATAGCTTTTTTATAGGATAGGGTGACAAACGAGCACACTGAATTGAGCTGGGCCTCCCCAAAGATTGCCTCTCAAAGGGGATATCTGCCATACTGACTAAGCTTGATAGGTATGTTGGGAGCCGCAGTTTTTTATTTTATAGTTGCAATTAGGAAGACGCAGCTGCCCATCTTCTAGTGTGTTTCCCTTGTCATCTCGCACCCACGTTACGATATGGGGTAGTAAATATCCCTACAGCGCCACTACACGGTCATATTTCCCTGAACTTTGTTATAAAGTTTTCTTTTTTTTATAGGACAGGGTGACAAACGAGCACACAGTCCACCTGATGGTAAGTGGTTGCTCTGGCCCATAGACATCTACATCTACCCTTGATTACGAATCAAAATGCACATGCGCTATCACCCGTGAGGATTAAGATGGAATGCCTCGTTTCCAGTAAAAAAGGTATCCGTTCGCTCATCATATGAAATACAGCAGCATTAAGCTAATATTTTACCCTAGTATTCTGTGAAAGCGTGTTCCTTCCCCAGTCGAGCCTACCCATTCGTACTACAACTATACTAGTGATATAACTGCAGCATGGCTCTACCACTTTTATATTTCTTATACTGGCTGTTTCAAGTTGGATATCTTACATTTCACTTTGGAACACAAATTAAAATAAATGACCTATTATAGTTATGATACCACTTTAAACAACCAAATCTTTAAATCATGATGTTTTTCAGCATTCCTTTTTCCTGCTAGCATTAGCATCTGAGGCTGTGCCAAAAGTGCAAAACAGTCTGTCACTGTCGCTGTCTAGTATAATTATAACTATCATCGGTGTGTTACTTGCGGGTTGAATTAACTGCCAATTGTTAACATACAATATGAAAAGAAAACCAAAAGGGGAAAAATACAGGTACCGTAATGACATTTCGTTCTTATTAATTTAAATCAATGTTTTTTATTCTACAATTTGCTTAAAATTTAGCAAACTTTTCAAATCTGGTAACACCGTCGTTAACTACAGTATATCTTTGAGACCGACACCCGCTCGCGTCGTATGTATTGCCACGTTATTTATCCTATTAATATTATTTTTGTGTTAATTTTTGATTTACTTACCTTATGAAGCAGATATATTATATATTAATGAAGTTATTTTTGATTATGAAATTATCGTTTCATTTAGCTGTACTAACATGAACAAACGTTGTAAAAAAATATTTCATTGGGATCGATTTTGTTTTCGTCCCATCATCAGAGGTGTCCTTAGTATTATCGTCTGTCTTCGTTTTCGAGAGCGTTTCAAAAACACGCGGTATATATATATATATATATATTATAATAGTTGGTATAGGGAATGTAACGGAATAACCAACAACTACATTTGTAATGTACAAGTATCTAAGCCACTACTGTTGATAAATTCGGGAAACTAACCTGGCACTTTCCGGTACTACGAGCGGGGTAAACACAGCCATGAGCATGGGTAGAGAAGTTGCCAGCATCAGGTAGCGCCAATCGCTGATCCATAGAGCGAGCCAAGGCAACAGCAAGCAGCCGCCGCCGAAGTACAGCGCTATCGACATGTTCGCCACAAAGGTGCGGTATCGATTGCCTACGTACTCCATCACTAACGAGTTGCAGAAAGAATATGTTAGTAATACCAACCTAGATATTACTTTCTTGAATTATTATTTATTCTGTGGTATCACTTTGTTTCCTAATGCCGGTACAAAAATTATTAGTTGAAGCCTTTAAATGACCAAAAAGAGCAATATTGGTAAGTACACTATTTAGCTACCGTGTATTTGGATCGTGTTTGATGGCCCTGTAGTGGTGGTGTTAAAAGAATATTCATTAACAACATACACTGTTAACTTTATTATTTAATTTTATATTATATATTAATAAACATATTTAAAAAAATTGTTTATTGAGTTTTTCCGTCAAGAAATTCTTGAGGGAATAGAGAATGCACCTGTGCTTGCGCATACGAGTACACTTGGACACTATAATCCTGTCCTGCGCCGATGGCTAGCCTCCGTAGCCTCCTCAGGCAGGCCGTCGTGGCCGAAGTTGGGTCTGGAGGACATGATTATTATTATTATTATATTTATTTATACCTTAATGCTATATGTAGGTACTAAAAAGTTGGCAGATTTATGGCCATAGGATATTAGCTCCTAGTCAACCATTAGGCCTAACAGAGATGGCGATAAATCTACAATACTTTTGAGTATCTACATATAGCATTAAGGTATAAATAAATAAATATTTGTTCCACGATCTGTCAGAGAACATATCTATCTAGTTTATACAATAGGAGTCCATACTCCGTGGATATCCACGAATTATGGAATATCGAGTGATGGTAGGTTCTCTGACGCCGCCACCATTGATACAGATTGTAATTATATATATATATATATATATATATATATATATATATATATATATATATATATATATATGTATATATATATATTAAAATAAAGAAGAATGTGTGGTTTGCAAGATGATGCAGTGACCAGGATTAAGAAAGGAATGCTTCGGTGGTTTGGTCATATAGAAGGAATGAATGCGGAAAGACTGACAAAGCAAATATATGTTGCAGAAGTGAATGGAAGAGTCGGAAAGGGACGTCCTAGGCGGAAGTTTGTCGAACAAATTGGCGATAAACTAAAAGTGGGCCAAATTAAGAGTACCCTTAACCGACGAGCATGTATGCGTAGGTGTATGGATGTGGAAGAGGCGAGAGAGGTATGTCAGGATCGTGCTAAATGGAAGTCTGTAGTCTCTGCCTACCCCTCTGGGTGACAGGCGTGAGTGTTTATGTATGTATGTATATATTAAAATATCTTGTCTACAATGCGAGTGAAACTTACCAAGAATATAAATAATCATGAAGCAACCGTCACAAGCCATGCCGACAATAAACCGACAGATTGAGAAATCCCAGAAGCTGTTAGTGAACATAGTCGCCACGCCGCCTACACAGCCGAGGAGGTTTGCCACTAAAATGTAAGAACTATGTAAACAAAATGTATGTGCCTGGTTGGGTTTGAACGAAGTATTGACCGTAGCTACCGGAATCAGTGATAGCGCTGGTTTTCAGTCTAGCCCTTACCCAGAGGCAGCTCGGGCGGCTGAGTGCACGCTCGCGCTTGATGTCCGATAATTTATAATATACAATATACATTTAATATGCATATTAAATGTATATATCTACCATATCGTAGTATGGATGAGATATATCCATGATATGCCATTAGTGCAGCTCTTTTTTGATACAATATTTTTTTATGGGGCGGCAAAGCTTAAGGTGGCCATATTACATTTAATATGCATATACATATGCGTACCCACATTTATATATAATTGGAATGACAGTAGAATTAGCCGTTTTTTCCTAAAAGGATGCGTATCCAAGCAATGTCTACAGTTTTGTGTTAATAAAAAAATTCCTAAGGTGCCATAAAAACACAACTCGTATAAAGATTTCTAAATTAATTTAAAATAAAGAAAAGAAAAACAAAACAAATAGGCTACCCACAATATATGCAATTTTTGTTAGTTTCAATATTGCTAAGCGAGGTTTAGGCAACAAAACTTGCAGAAGTTGACTTCTGCAAGCTATTCCTACCGTGTAAACAATCCGGTCAAGCTCACTTCCGCAAGTTTTGTAACTTGCAGGACTTGCCGCAAGTCACAAGCGTAAACACTATTTTGAAACTTCTGGCGGTAACTTGCAGTTTATTTTGCTTACAAATAAAAGTTAAAAGTTGCTGATTTATATTTACATTTTTTAAATACAGGATTTAGTATGAATTAAAGTACCAAACTGCTCGGTGTCTATGAAATACAGTTACATTACTAGTGAATTCATTTAGTGGTACCACAGTCTATAAATTATTATACTGTTGTAGTACATTTACATAGAAGTCTGTGTGTCACATATAAACATTTGTACTTACAAATAAACACAGGAAGTCGACCGTAAATGTCCGCTAACGTGCCGCACAGGATACCACCGAAGATGGAGCCCAAGAAATTGATTGCCTGTGACCACGGTACATGGCTCGCTTTCTCACAAACCCATTCCCTCTGCAATAAAAATAACATGCAGTTTTCTTGTAATGATATTATTATATGGTTTTCTTGTAATGTAACACAACAAGTACGTGTTGCCAGTGACGACATATGGATCTAAGACGTGGTCCATCACGGCTGGCCGTATGAGGAAGCATAAGGTCGCTCAGTGAACAATGGGGAAGGGCTATGCTCGGGGTTCCTCTGCGTGCTTGATTTAGAAATTAGACTATCCCAGAAATTAAGACATTACTCGACGAACCGAGAACCGCCGTTCTTCGAGCGAAGTGTAGAGAGATCCCCCACTAGATATTTTGTGGCATTCCTTGGCGGAGGCCTATGTTCAGCAGTGGATTTGTGAAGGGCTGTAATTAATGATGATGATGATACAAATACCGGTTAATCGGCGGTACCGATACCGATACCGATATGCATATTTTGACCCAACTGTCAGAGGCTAATATATTTCAGGCGTTTGTATGTATTTCAACCATTATTGCCAACTAGTGGCAACTGTGGCGAAATTTCACTTACGGAGGCTCCATGGGGGAGGCTTATGTTCAGCAGTGGTCTTGCTTGGGGGTTGGTAGATTTTATTTGCAGCCAACATTCGAATTTTCTATTACGAGTCCGCGAATCCGCGTGATGAAACTCTACTCCGTTGCAGATTGCGTTTTATAACAAAAGCATATCATTCAATTAATTTACTACCTCGTTGGTCTAGTGATTGTAGTAGGACGACTGCTGATCGTGAGGTCGTGGGTTCGAATCCCGGGTCGGGCCAAAATTCAATTATTGAGTTTTTCCTTGAAGAAATTTTCAGTAGCTGCCCGGAGCCAGGAAGTTGGCGGTGTATCACCCCGTGCCTGCCGTTGGTCCTGCGCCTGATCTCTCTCCGGTCGTTTCGGTTTACCTTCCCATCGGTTTATGAGAGTGAGGGAATAGAGAGTACACCTGTGCTTGCGCATACACTTGAACTATAATCCTGTCCTGCGCCGATGGCTAGTCTCCGTTGAGGCAGCCCGCCGTGACCAATTCAGTCTGGAGGACATTATCATATAATTCAAATGCAAACCTCGTTAACAACAGTAGAATACGGTATGTCCTCAAATAGAAACTCCCATCCGTTTTGACACGGAATGGTATTGAGTTTTTCCTTGAAGAAATTTTCAGTAGCTGCCCGGAGCCAGGAAGTTGGCGGTGTTTCACCCCGTGCCTGCCGTTGGTCCTGCGCCTGATCTCTCTCCGGTCGTTTCGCTTTACCTTCCCATCGGTTTATGAGAGTGAGGGAATAGAGAGTACACCTGTGCTTGCGCATACACTTGAACTATAATCCTGTCCTGCGCCGATGGCTAGTCTCCGTTGAGGCTGGCTGCCGTGACCAATTCAGTCTGGAGGACATTATTATATAATTAAAATTCAAACCTCGTTAACGACAGTAGAATACGGTATGTCCTCAAATAGAAACTCCCATCCGTTTTGACACGGAATGGTACTTGTGCTTGGATCTGGAGGTAGCAGGGTTTCGAGTACCCTCGTCCAATTTGCATCGTACATCATACAATGGTCATATTCTCCCCCATCGGCTGCTCCGGGAATCGACAAACTTCGTCTGAAATATTTTAAAAACAGTCAGTTCAACAGACTATTCCAACTGCTCAGTTAAAACTAAAACTGTTGATATTTTTTAAAATATTTGATTTTCGATATATCGATATATAAACTTATACATAAAACTCCGATATTGATATATTTATAATTATCAATATATCGCAAATTCAATATTTTTAAAAATATTAACAGTTTTAGTTTGAACTAATCAGTTGGAATGATCAGTTGAACTGACCGTGTGTGGCGACCATAACAATATATTTTTATTATTAACAAAGCTGGCCAAATCTTTTACAATCTTAGCATATGCACGTCTTACCATAAAGTCTACAAAGCCCAGTCCTAATCCACCACCACATAGTTATTAATTATATAAAAAATATAAAGAGCTTGTTAATTAAATTTTTACTATTTAACCAAAATATAAAAAACGTAAAATTACATATTATTTTATCTTCAGATCAGATTAAAAATAAAATGTTGTACCATTAACACAGCGTCTCAGAATTGGATTAAAGTATTGATAGTTAACAATAATCGTGCTTAAACTATATAATATACACTGATAACTTACGTATTTAAATTATGGATCTTAAAGATAGTAGGACCGAACGAGGTCAGCTCGACTGGAGAAGGACCGCACTCCCACAGAATCCACAGATTCACTAGAACTATCAATACAATCCATATACGTCCACCCATACACGTGGCGAACATATGTCTCTCCGTAGATTGGCACAAGGTACGGTTCTAAGACACCTGCATCCATCGACTACCTGCTTATTTAATCAGGTCGTCACTCCATCTAGTGGGGGTGCCCAACATAGTGTTTGCCAGTACAAGGCTGCCACTCGAGAACCTTCTTTCCCTATCGGTTGACGAGGTATATGGCCGGCCCATGGCCACTTCAGCTTATTGATCCGGTGGCCTATGACAATTACTCTTATTCTTCTGCGGATATCCTCGTCAGGAATTCCAAACACTTGTGACTGTGACTTTGAGCTTTCTCATATGGCCAATAATCAAATTCCAACCTTAATTTATTAGCAAGAATCACTATCCTGACAGACTGTCCCTGGCTTCTTTGGCACCTCATAAAACGTTAATTATCTTAATGGCCTAATACCTGAGTTCAATACTAAGATCTTCTAACTCGGGAACACGACACCAGTGCTCTTGAGGCGTGGCCGTGATAAACATCTGCCCGAAATATGCGAAGGCCCACCCCATACCGAAGGGTAACATGCATAGGAACAACATCCACTGGTAGAGTCCAAACTCGCCCACATGAGCAATCACATTTTCTAAAGCCGCGCCTATGTCTCTTGGACTGTTCTGCTTTTCCTGAAAGAGACCGTAAATTAAACTTTTATCTGCTATTTTTTATAGAAATAAGGGTTAAAATAGCACACAGTCCACTTGTTGGTAAGTGGTAGAGCCACGCTACAGCTACAATATGATTGGAGCACAAAACGCTCTCATAGAATATCAGCGTGAAATAGCGGTTTAATGCTACTCTGAAACGAGGTTTGTACATTAAAGAAGTATTCATATTTGTAAAACAACATCCTGAACACTTTGAAAGGCATATAGATGTAACTGAGCGAAATGTAGCTCCTAGAAATAAATATAAACTATATTTACCTCAATGCAGGCTCAAATTGTATGAAACGAACTCTTACGTGAATGCCATAAAGGTATATAACAAAATACCCAACGACTTTAAAGAGTTACTTTTAACCATGTTTAAAAAAAAACTTGATACAATTGTTAAAAGAAAAATGTTTGTACGACCTAAATGAATCTATGTATTTTTGTGAAAAATCAATCTGACGTCAGTAATATTGGTATATAACTAATAATTAATTAATTGTGAACAACCTGAAAGTATGGACATTAACATTTGTGAACAATCACTACATAATGTGACATTTTAAATTCTATTACTTAAATGACATTATAATATTGACATCAATTAATCTAGCTTTTAATAATAATCATAAATGTACGATCTGCAATCCACTTTTCGCCTCTCTCGTGAAGGAGGCGAGAGAGGTGTGTCAGGATCGTGCCAAATGGAAGTCTGTAGTCTCTGCCTACCCCTTTGGGTGACAGGCGTGAGTGTTTATGTTTTTATGTTATGTCATAAATGTACGAAATTGAATTCCCACTTGTTGTTTAAATTTTTTTGCATGTATAAAATATTTGCACACCATTTAAAGTGGTAGAATGTAAATGGGTCATTAGACATAATTTAAGATCATACTTTATTGTGCACATACATTATGGCAAATAAATGAATTTCAATTTGAGGCATACCATTGTAGTCCTCATGGGTGACAACTCATCTGCATTTTAATTCGTAATCGTGGATAGATGTAAGATGTCTATAGGCCACAGACACCACTTACCATCATGTGGACTGTGTGTTCGTTTGTCACCCTTTTAATTTAAAAACGGGGATCCTAGGGTCCGTAAACGCTAACATCTATGATCGCTTAAGAATCAAAATGCAAATGCGTTGTCACCCCCAAGGATTAAAATGAATTTCCTCATGTCCTAGGTCTCTACTTCTCTATATTGTCATAAATTAAGGTCATACATTCTTTACAAAATGTTACCATATTGCGTATGTCTCAACATGCACCACTCACCACACAGCAACATTTTAAGGTGGTATTCTGTGAGGACGCGATCCTACCTCTACTACGTACAATTTTTTTTAACTATAAGCACAAACTTGCAAAGTAATGCGTTATTAATATTGTTACGCCGCGCTCAAATCGGCGCACTAGCGCCATCTAGTCTCGAACCGAAGAACTAAACTTCTTGAAGTTTAAAACTCGAACTCTCGGTACCTTGCGCGTGTTTACTTGAACATTCTGGATATTTTGCTAATTTATATAACTAGGCGCTGCAAGATGCGATCGAAGTAGACTTGAACTCGGCGACACAAGCGAAGCTTCGGAGCGGAATTAAGTGAATTAGTGTGTTTAATCATTAGTGTTTTAAGTTTTAATTTGTGTAAAGTAAATTAAAGTGTTAATTTAGGTAATTTTATCGGCAATTTTTATTGTCACGCTCGTAACAATTGGTGTCAGAAGTGGGATAAAATAATGCCGATTTTACCTAAGGAGGAAACGAAGGGTGTCCGTACCCGAAGTCAACGCCAGCAGGAGACGGACCAACGAAGATTTGGTGGTGCAACGCCGCAGACGTCGGAGGGACAGTCGCCGGCTGCAGGCCCGTCAGTAGCTCCTACATCTGCAGCACCCGACTTAGGTGCTCTGATGGTGATGCTGCAGGAGCAGGCTCGCCGACAGGAGGAACAGGTCCGTCAGTTAAAAGAGCAGCTGCAGAGCGGACAAGAGGAACAGGTCCGCCGACAGGAGGAACAGGCCCGCCGACAGGAGGAACAGGCCCGCCGACAGGAGGAACAGACCCGTCGGTTGGAAGATCAGCAGGCGGAACAGGCTCGTCGGTTGGAAGAGCAGATGCTCCTCATGAAGGACCTTCACGCTATCTTTGGGAAAGAGATAAGGGAGGAGGATAGGGTTGCTCAACATGACAACCGCCTGTCGGAAGCTGAAACCCGAATCGAAGAACATGAGACCCGAATCAACCATGTGAACAATCGGGTTGACAACGTGATGGCTGACGTGAAGAAAACGCTGAAGGACCTCAAACTTGGGGATGGAACGACAGCTCCCGTAGTAGCTACAGCACCTTCACTACGTGGGTTCAAGGTGCCACCGTTCGACGGGACTTCCTGGTCAGCCTACAAAATCCAGTTCGAGGCTGTTATGAAGGCGAACGGCTGGAATAAAAGTCAGGCCATGACTGCTCTCACACTAGGCCTGCGCGACCAGGCCTTAACAGTTCTGGAAGCTCTCGGTGAGGAAGTGACTTATGAGCAACTCCTTGAGGCATTGGAGGCGATATATGGCGACGCTCACCTGGAACATGTCTTTCGTGCGCAGCTTAAAGATCGCGTGCAGCGCATCAACGAAAACCTGCAGCAGTGGGCTCTAGAAGTGGAGAAGCTGGTGCGAAAAGCATACCGGTCTGTACCTGCGCTCATTGATGGGAACCTGGTGCAGACATTCATCGACGGCATCCGCGACCTGGAAGTCAGAGCTGCTGTGAGGCTCGGGCACCACGAGACGCTTAAGGACGCCTTGGCCCATGCACTGGAAGTGGAAGCCGTGCGGCAGGATCATCTTTCCCATTGCGACAGGGAGGTTGCAGCAGCTACAGTTCGCAACCGCAACAGAGGATACAGCCCTAGGTGCTATGGCTGTGGGGAAAAGGGCCATTTTCGATCCAGCTGCCCTAAGCGAACCGCAGAAAGGGAAATTGAACGATATCAGGAGGGTAGTGCAGCTAACGGCACTGCCTGGCGGCGACAGGATCATCGTTCACCTCACGCTAGGGAGGTTGCAGCAGTTACGGTTCGCGACCACAATAAAGGATACAGCCCTAGGTGCTATGGATGTGGGGAAAAGGGCCATTTTCGATCCAGCTGCCCTAAGCGAACCGTAGAAAGGGAAATTGAACGATATCAGGAGGGTAGTGCAGCTAACGGCACTGCCTGGCGGCGACAGGATCATCGTTCACCTCACGCTAGGGAGGTTGCAGCAGTTACGGTTCGCGACTACAATAAAGGATACAGCCCTAGGTGCTATGGATGTGGGGAAAAGGGCCATTTTCGATCCAGCTGCCCTAAGCGAACCGCAGAAAGGGAAATTGAACGATATCAGGAGGGTAGTGCAGCTAACGGCACTGCCTGGCGGCGACAGGATCATCGTTCACCTCACGCTAGGGGAGGTTGCAGCAGTTACGGTTCGCGACCACAATAAAGGATACAGCCCTAGGTGCTATGGATGTGGGGAAAGGGGCCATCTTCGGTTCAGCTGCCCTAAGCACACCCTAGGAAGAGAAGGTGAACGGTCTCAGAAATGAAGTGCGGCTAACAGCACCGCCCAGCAGCAGCAGGAATACGACTTTACTATCAGACACTGCAGCGGGAAATCTCACGGCAACACAGATGCATTCTCAAGAAGACCTTGTCCTGAAGATTGCAACCATTGTAGTAGGCAAGATAAGGAAGTGGTATCCGTGAGGATGCTCAGGACAGACCACCTCAGCAACGGGTGGAAGGACAGCCTACGACATGCACAGCAGGAAGATCCGGACATCAAGCCGATTCTGGGATGGATGAAGGCCCGTGCTACCAAGCCTAAGTGGAGGGACGTCTCAGCGATGAGTTCAACCACGAAAAGCTATTGGGCCCAATGGGACAGCTTGCTGCTTCAGGATGGAGTCCTGTGCCGTAAATGGGACAATGGTCGAGGAGACAGCTGTCGTTTGCAAATAGTTGTCCCTAAAGCTAAAGTGCCGAATGTTCTACAGCTGTGCCATAATGGTCGTTCAAGAGTCCATCTGGGAGTTAAACGAACTCTACTGAAGGTCCGAGAACAGTTTTACTGGGTCCATTATCGTGACGATGTCGAGGATTGGTGTCGTACATGTACAAGTTGTGCGGCTGTGAGGGGACCTCAGACACGGAGTAGAGGAGCATCGAAATTGTACAATGTTGGTGCACCACGGGATAGGACATCCCTTGACATTGCGGAGCCGTTACAGAAAGGCGCAAGAGGGACTCCTAAGATCGTCCATGTGGATCGCCTAGCGCGTTATTATGGGGCCGATAATGCTCGGGACGAGCATGTCTTAGGAGGGGGCAGTGTTACGCCGCGCTCAAATCGGCGCACTAGCGCCATCTAGTCTCGAACCGAAGAACTAAACTTCTTGAAGTTTAAAACTCGAACTCTCGGTACCTTGCGCGTGTTTACTTGAACATTCTGGATATTTTGCTAATTTATATAACTAGGCGCTGCAAGATGCGATCGAAGTAGACTTGAACTCGGCGACACAAGCGAAGCTTCGGAGCGGAATTAAGTGAATTAGTGTGTTTAATCATTAGTGTTTTAAGTTTTAATTTGTGTAAAGTAAATTAAAGTGTTAATTTAGGTAATTTTATCGGCAATTTTTATTGTCACGAACCCTAAGCTCGTAACAATATCGTGGTTACTAACCTTAAGCTATCTGTCACACTGACTTGAATGAAGTCTACTAGTTTCTACTTAAGGTTATATACCCTAGGATGGTGTTGATGTTAATCCTCTAATGTATCTTCTTCTACCAGTTAACCATGGCAATTTATACACTCTTGCACTAAGAGCGACCTTTGTTTAGCTATGAGCAGTTTTTAGAGTTATGAAAAGATTTAATCTAATACGAATATCAAAACCCAAATCTTTTAATTCATTCATTCATTATAGCCTTAGAATATAAAAGTCCGCTATCAAATGTAGCCTTCCCCTGTCTCATAGGAAGGATTTTGTCACACTTGGCGGGCGAGTTGGCTACCGCAGTTTTCTATTATTTTGAGCTGTTTTCAGGAAGATGCTGCTGCCCATTTCCTGGTTTAGATTCCCTCTGTTGCCTCTTACGGCACCCACGGGACTATATGGGGTAGTGGATATTACTACACCGCACCGCCTCTCTACGGTTTTTATAATACCGTTTGTTGCTACCATTATTGTTTTTTAATAATTCCATTTATATATATATTCCACTATATATACCTACTTTACAGAATTATTTTCATAGTGCAAAACTCAACAGATCACAAATATTATATCCGAACTCCCAGCTTAATTGCGTACCTACTGTCAGACAGTCGCCGTCATAATGGGTATGTTCCAAAATGTTTCCAGTATACTGGCGAATGCAAATGACGTCATTAATTGACGCCGTCTTCCACCATATTCGATACAACGAATCACCAATATGGCATCGATTTATGACGTCATTTGCATTGGCCAGTGTACTGGGTTGTATTTCGGAACATACCCAATGTTTAGTAACGTTCCAATGTATTTAGTGTTTACTAATCTTCTATATATGTATACTGGGTGATTTTTTTTACCGACTGGTTATTCCATTCACCTGTTACACCCTATTTTTTGCCAGACGGAAAAAAACAGTATATAAGCGAAATACCACTGACTATCTGACTCACCCGATTGACTTGAAATTTAGTATGGTTACTCATTTCGCAACGTAGACGCTCACTAATAACGGATTTTACGATAGTCCCATCAAAATTTTTTTTCTTGATATTTTACATCTAGGTTTCGCAATAAAATACTATCGGGCGGCCAGTGTAGCTAGCGGGTATCAGCTAGTGTTAGATACAAGCGACAAGCGACGCTACAGAAGTGTTCATAAACTTTGTTACTATATAGCAATTAAAACACTCTAAGCGACAAGTGACGCTATTGAAGTGTTCTTATGTATACATTACCACAAAGAGTCATCATCATCATCATCATCATTATAGCCTTTCACAAGTCCACCTGCTACACATAGGCCTCCCCCAATTAATGCCACAACGCATATTCCCAAGCCACCTGCACCCTGGTCGCTATTGTGTAGCTACTAAATATCCTCACGCTTTCGAAGCTGAGATTACCGAGGTTATTTCTGCGTTAAATCGCACTTTTATCGTCCAGTGCCTGGGTAAACCAAGTTTTGGTCGGCTTTAGAAAAAAAATGTATATCTTAGGAATGATAGTTAAGGGGAAATATAACCTCAAATGGCTTAGCAAGATCCTCCGTTATGCCGAAAATATTGAAGCATCAATTTTGAAATAAATATATGGTAAAGTTGAGGATTAATGTTGCAGGAAACAAGCTTCAGGACGCCGATAGTTTAGGTAATTTCTTTTTACAGTGAGAATAATGGTAATTTAAAAAAAAATAAAAAAACATAAGCCCTGCTTTATAGTTAGTTCAGTTAGTATGCAAAGTTTCATGATCTTATTTAAAATATTTTATGAATAACAGCGGTTTATTCATATTTTTTTTTGTTCAGTTTGGAGGTAACTTTGGATTTTTTTTATCGAGAAAATTTTACGGAATCATGTTTTCGTCTAACATAGTACTTAACAATAATCCTCAACTTTACCATATATTTATTTCAAAATTAATGCTGCAATATTTTCGGCATAACGGAGGATCTTGCTAAGCCATTTGAGGTTATATTTGCCCTTAAATGGTATTTTGCGGCACCAGCCCATATGTAACAGGTGGTTTCCTCTTTATTAGATTAGAATAGAAATTGTACAGAAATTAAAAAAATGGCCGCACTTTTAGTATCCTTGCTAACTTTCTTCGCTCAATGAACCACCCAAAGCAGAGGTTCAAGGAAATCTATATGCTTAACTAACAACCAAAGACAACAAGTTTGATAAATATATATTACCTATTCTTAGAAAAGAGGTATTTTCCGAACCAGCGGTAAATTAAACATAAGTATGGGAATGGCGCTCACAGGCTGATTAAGAAAAATAATAAAAAGAAATTTAATCAAATCTTTTACGTGGTAGAGCCAGGTATATTATGGCTGTAGCACGAATTGCACGAACTGCTCTTATTGTATACTTAACACAAATATATATTGTGCGTGAGGGCTACACTACAGCTTCCACCGAAAAAAAATTTTATTTAATATAAAATTATATTAATAATATCTCTAAAAGTATAGGTATAAATTACATAAATCAAGATAAGTATATTCTATGGGTAGGTCTTGTGGCCAGATTCCTCTGTCCCATATTAATGTCGAGTTTTGTCTTGTCTTATACATAATTTCGTCACGGTTTATTAAGGAAATTTGAATGTTTTCATTAAAAATCCACATGATATCCGTAGTAAATTTTTACTCAAACACCGAGTTAAGACATTTAGTCACTTCAATCTTCTAAATCATCTTATCTGAACGGACAATACTCTTTTACTTTCATATTTTTCACATTTTAAGATATTGTTTAATATATATACTTCATACGCTTACTTTACTTACTTACTTAGACACTCATATATTACTTCATTTTTAGTTAACTATTTCATATTTTCCAATTTTTTTATAAAATTTTTTTTTTTTTTTTTTTTTTTTTTTTTTTTTTTTTTTTTTTTTTTTTTTTTTTTTAAAAATTTATTTTTTTTTTTTTATTTTTTTTTTTTTTTTTTATTTTTTTTTTTTTTTTATTTTTTTTTTTTTTTTTTAAGAATATGTAGCAGAAACTGCAAAAAAATCGTGGTTCTTTTTATATTCTTCTGGTAACGCTCTATCGAGCACTTGTAGCACGTGTATTCTATCGAATACAAATGCTTGTTTCCCTTTTCAATTAAACTGCCAGTTTTAAATTATTCAGCCAGCTTCTAAAAAAATATTAATGTGGTCTCTTCTGGTATACATATTTATTTATTATCGTCACATCCGGTATTGCGTCAATTCCGTTATAATATTTCTTTGTCAATCGTTTCAATAATGTCTTCATTATTTAATTTAGTAATATTTATAAATATCCTACTTCCCACTTTTTAACTAGGCCCGGCGGTGGCAGGGTCGCCATGTAACTTAAGAAAGTGTTATTGAAAAGAGAGGCGTGTTACTCTTGCTGTGACTAATTTTTTTTGCGCCCAAAGCAAATATGGGCAACCCTCCGGTCGTTGTTTCTCTGAGGGTAAGCTGATGTGCCGGTCCTGGGCGCCTTGATGAACCCTCCGGAAAACGGGGGAGGGAGGTGGGGAATGCTCATAGCATACCACGCAGACGGCTGCGTGGTTATGTGGAGACTTTTACCCACTAAACCCCATCTTTTAGGGACTGGCTTAACGGTCTAACTAGAGATCTCTAAGCCGTATACGAACGCGACCCTCCTTGGCAGAAAGGAGGGCGCAGTGTCTTTAATTATACTGCTCTTATTTTATACTTAACACAAATATATATTGTCGTGGGGGCTACACTACACTACAGGGTAGTCTCGACCGGGGTAGGACCACGCTCTCACAAAATACCAGCGTAAAATATTCGGATAACACTGTTGTGTTTCGTATGGGGAGTGTAGAGAACAGGAGACCCTTTTTACTGAAATCGAGGCATTCCATTTCAGTTCTCAGGGATGACAACGCATCTGCATTTTAATGCTTAATTGAGAATAAATGTAGATGTCTATATGCCACAGCATCCGCTTACCATCAAGCGGACTGTATACTCGCTTGTCACACTAATTCTATAAACACCTTGGTATGTTTACACTATGTGTCTTCAAGATTTACGTACCCCTTTTGCTTCCTTCACAGATAAATTTATATCGTTATCCGCCTCCATTATCCCTCCTGTCGTATCCCTGTATAATAAATAATGCGTGCGAGTCACTGATAAATTCAAAATAAACTGAACTCATTTTTGACAATTAGATACAATTCTTATCTTAAATTATTGCTTCAATGATAAAAAAAATTCTCTAAGGATCGTTTATTTCAACATATGTAGATAAATGATAATTATTTACCCAGAACGTAGAATAATAATAAACGCAATTGTGTGTGTGTTGTTGTAATATGTGATTGCTTCGTTGGTCTAGTGATTGTTAACGCGACTGCTGAGCATGAGGTCCTGGGTTCGAATCCCGGGACGGGCCAAAAAATCAATTATTGAGTTTTTTCAAGAAATTCTCAGTAGCAGGTCAGGAAGTTGGCGGTGTGGTCCTGCGCCTGATCTCTCTTCGGTCGTGTCAGTTTACCATCCCAAGGACTATGAGAGTTAGTGAATAGAGAGTGCAACTGTGCTTGCGCATACACTTGGCACTATATTCTGTCCTGCGCCGATGGCTAGTCTCCGTTGAAGCTGGCCGCCGTGACCGAAATTCGATCTGGAGGACATTATCATTATATCCTATGATCCAGAAGCAACTTTTGTGTTTTGAACACCAGTGTATAACAGCATAACCTGTATATAAACATCATTAACATTGTCAAATTAGTTTTGAACTTCATTTATTTTTAACACTAGAGACGTATCATCAACAAACAATAACGTTTCACTTAACGGATAGCAAAGTATGGTGTCTCATTCGTATGGGTAATAATGACAATCGTAAAAAAAAACGTTCGTCGCAATGTTGCGAAGCAGCCCAGCTATAACCCAATCGTAAATTGTTAAAAGTCAAAGTTAGAGTTACATAAAAACCTTTATACCTACGTCCCACTGCTGGGCACAGACCCCTCTCATTTCTGAGGAGGTTTTAGGGCAAGTAATTGTCCGTCACGCTGCCAATATGTGTGCTGGTGAACTTCACATGTCTTCGAATTTTGTTATTATTTCTCATACATGCAGGTTTTCTCACGATATTTTCCTTCACTGCCAAGCACGTAATTAGCACTTATTATTCACAACTTCATTGGTGCCGGTTGGGTTCGAACCCGGGTTGCTCGCGTACTGGCAAATTTACCACGGCTCTTAAATTGCAATAAACAAAATGGTAAAATATAGTGGCCCTGAATTGGCATTATTTATTAGAGCTTTTTGCGATTACTGCAGAAGGCAGAAGCATACTATAAAAAATTGCAGGCGATGATGGCCACTACCAAGTAAATGCAAAATGTTGATCACTCTAGGTCGCTACAATATGAGCATCAAAGCAGCAGCAACAACGCAAAATATTTTCTAAAAAAAATAAGTAATCGCTAAATTACGCTATTTTTTTTTGAGTTTTTTACTATCTAGCATCATTAAAAGAGATAAAACTGAAAGATGATTTTAATTCCTAAAGTGCCACCCCCTCGTTCCTCAGGACCGCCTAGGAGGTAGGGATACCCCCTACTAATTACTATTAGTATTTTTTACGTGGCAGAGCCACGGTACAATTATATTATAGTTGTGGCACGAATGGGTCGGCTCGACCGGGGTAAGACCGCGCTCTCACAGAATAGTAACGACGTAAAATAGCAACGCCATACTGCTTTGTGATCCATGGTGAATGTAGAGAACCGGAGACCCTTTTTACTGGAAACTAGGCATTTCATGTTAGTCCTCACGGGTGACAACGCATTTGCATTTTGATTCTTAATCGAGAATAGGTGTAAATGTCGATGGGTCACAGAATCCACTTACCATCAGGTGGACTGTGTGCTCGTTTTGTCACCCTATTGTGTGAAAAAAAAAACACAAAGTGTACATAACACGGCTTATCTAATTTATCACATAATTTTAATCAGTAATCAATTTAAAGTAATATTATCATTGTAATTCGTAAGGTCAAACGTTCAGGTGATCGTAATCAGTACGACTCGATAACAAAGGTAAGCAGAACCTAGTAACGTTTCTTGGTTCCTTTTTCAAGTTTTTAAAGTAGAGAATTTTTAAAAAATAACAACTACCACTCAACTGAAAGCACGTGATGTCAAAACCCTCACGTCGAAGCCTGAGATTTTCGCCGAGATCAAAGGCTATTACGGTACACTAGGTAAATGTCTCACAAAACGCCTAAACCCTACGATCCCACCCGTCATCGGCCGAAGTTTGCTCGGGCGATGACGGCCGAACTCGGACGATCGAATCAAACACTTGTAAAACAAAGAGAGCGCTTCTCAAACACGACCGTCATCGTCCGATAACGCACGAAAACGGCCGATCAACCGTAGAGTCTAATGGTGGTTAATATAGCGCATAGCGCTATATTATAGCGCGCTACCTCTCCATAACGCATAGCGCGTGCTATGTAAGTAGTCACCAAGGCGCTATGGCACTATGACGCTTCTCTATTAATATCTAGCGGGAACTAGTTTTAGCAGCAGCGCTCTTGGGAGTGGACGTGTGACGCAAATTTGATCCAGTAGCACGCTATTCATCGCTCGCGACCTAATCTAGTGTTAGACGTTGTTTAGTTCGTGTATACTGTATATTTGTAAATTACCTAAGCACACAATTGTCTACCACCAAAAGTAGCCTAAATAATGTTTTTAAATGTATATAAAATATAGATATAAAAGTGTATATAATAGCGTATGTAAGTAGTTTATTTTTGTATATACAATCAATAAAATTTTAAATACGTCTTTAATTGATTTATAATTTACATTAAGGTTAAAATAACGTTTACATCGATTATAGATAGTCGTAAGCCTGAGAAGTATGAAGGAGTGTTCATTGTTTTTTTTTTCTTTACCGTTTTAATTTATCTTAGTCTAAAATGCGACTAATTACAAAATTATGTTCTTATATAGCACGCGGTCTATCCAACGAACGACATGTAATATAGCGTGCTACGAGTTATAGCGTGCTGCAAAACTTAACGCGCTTGCCGGCCTCCTACACGCTATAACATTATTATTTAAAAGCACTCTAGAAATTTATAGTTTATAGTCTATAGCGTGCTATTGATTTATAGTCGTTTTGAACAACTTTAGTAGAGTCCGAATTTGTTGGGATTTCTCGCCCGACTGCCGGCGTCTACAGTGCAAATTGGGTGCATTTATAGTTTAATTTAATTATTTTGTGTTTATTTTGTTGTTTCTGTCAGTGTTGTTATCTACCTAAACGACTATGGATATTGAAAATATAAAAATAGAAAAGAATACCGGCAACGTCCAATGTCGGCACAAGTGGTACACTGTTGCAGTGTAAGCACATACACGTCCGAGTTACTCGTCCGGGTAGTTCTGTCCGCTATCGGCCGACAAAATCGGTTTTGGTGTAAACGTACCGTAACTCTCCACTTTACCAAGAAGCTGCCAGATATCTGTCCAGAGGATATTGAACAACTTAAAAATGTTTTAAACTTAATTAATCAGTTTACTTTTACCGTGTAGTAGCTGTGTAAGAATATCCAATACACAATATCATCTCGTGGGTGTCGTAAGAGAAACAAATCAGAAGATGGGCAGCAGCTTCTTCCTAATGACGACTAAAAGAACTATGGCTGACAAGCATGGCAACTATCCCACTATGAGGCAATCTATGGTGTAGGCCTATGCTGTAACGGTAAAGGTGATATATTTACTTCAAAATTAAAAACAATAACTTTGAAAAATAGACTTCTACTTCGCTTAATATATCCTGCTGGACACATGACTCCTCTCATTTGTAAGAGAGATTGTGAGGAAAAGAAGAATGTCTTCACAGGTCTCGTCAGCAGGGCGGTACACCAGACTTTGTAGACTTCTTGACCATAGGTAAATTCGGGATGATAAATGAAAAACTATCCTTAACCCTGTAGTGTTATGCTTACATACATACTTACATATCATTTTACACTATTTTATTTTTATTTTTCCATTCTGTTTTTGATTTTCTACATTCACCTCAAAACTGGATATTTTGCATCACCTTTATTTCCATAGGATCCTGTAATATTTTTAATTCATAAGAACACAATAACAAATCATTTTCACTTCGTATTTTCACGTTATCAGCACTTTATAAATCGGTCTCAATGGAGTCTACCTTTATCGATCTTTTAATTAGTTCTCCGTAACTCTACAATTTCGGGTTTCGTGCGCGCTCTTGCGCTACCCTTTTTCCTATATAAATAATATCTCATTTTTCACTTAAATCTTGCCGTTTCTGTATTACGAGCTTAAAACCAAAATTTGACATGTTTTGACATCGTTGTTTATCTGGTTGTCGTGGCAATTTTTATTCAAATATTGTTACCGGCCTGATGTTTTTACTTCAAAAATACTCTTTTCTTCTTGGCCATTTACAAAAATTTGCTTTTAATTTAAATAATTTCAAATAATTTCTCGTTCTTATCCCAGATCCGTCAAAAAATATAAAAGCCGAAGAATCGGCCGATAGAGGTCCTCACTTCAGCTTTGATACGAGAAGCACCTCTTAAAGGCTTTATCCGCACTGCCTCGGGATCTTGCAAGCCTTCTCCTGAAGTCGTCGCCTAGCCACGCCTACGCCTCCACCTATTAGTGCCCGCGCTATCTTCGGCCGCTGAGCGTGTTTGTCTCAAGCGCTGCGTGTTCCTACTCCAGACGCTGCGTGTCTACTCCGGACGCGTGTGTGTCTACTCCGGACGTTGTGTTTGCCTACTTCAAGCGCCACGTGTACCTACTCCAGACGCTGCGTGTCTACTCCGGGTGCTGCGTGTATCTGCTCCGGGCGTTGCGTGGGCCTACTCCAAGCGCTGCGTGTACCTTCTCCAGACGCTGCATGTGCTTTCTCCAGATTCTGCGTGTACCTAGAGCAGGCGCTGCGCACCTATCATAGGCATAGCCTGTGCATACTTCGTTGCAGTATCTTTATTTTTGTTATTTTTTTTTAATAATATTGTAAATCACTATCATCATTACAGCCCATCATCACCTTCATACCTTTTTTTATAAAAGAAACTGTAAATCTTTTCAAATTTTTAAATAATTTATTTTATTTTTGGTTGTTTTGTTGTAGTTAGGTTAGGTTATTTAGTTTTTAATTGTCGCTTCACGACAATTTGGCGCCCGACGTAAAAGTTCTTCTTTTCTTCACCTTAGCTACGCCTTATCCATTTCCTTTTGATTGAATTGCTTTCTCTTTCATTCTTAACTCTTTATTTACTCATCCTTATCATATCTTCCAAATTCTAAAACAAAACTTCATCTAGTTTTTCAACTTATCTGGCTTATATTTAGACCTACATATAACACTTCACTTACATTCATCACCTTAATATCTTTATTCTAGATAACTTAAAGAGGTACTATCTTCCAAATTCTAAAACAAAACTTCATCTAGTTTTTCAACTTATCTGGATTATATTTGGACCTGCATATAACACTTCACTTACATTCATCACTTTTATATTTTTATTCTAGATAACTTAAAGAGGTACAATTTTTAATTACATTTTTATTTCTTAAACTTAACTTTGCACTTAATTATAACAATGAAAAGGGTTATTGAGTACGAATTCCTTAATAAGGCCGAACTCGATTACGAAGTGAAGATTAGATGTGAGAAACCAGCTAATACTGTTTTGCATGACACTACATTTGTATATATGTTTGTATATTTGTATATATGTTTGTATATATGTATAATTATTACCTGATTAATTTCTTTATCTTTATCTTCACTCAGGAGCGGATTACAACTCCTTAAATAAGCCTGAATGTACTTTTAGTGATGTTGCTCATCTCTGGCTTTGAGCCCTACCGCTCTGGCCGTTCTTAATCTTTACTTAAGTGATATCGATTAAAGCTTGCTTAAGATTAATTTCTTTATCTTTATCTTCACTCAGGAGCGGATGACAACTCCTTAAATAAGCCTGGATGTCCTTTCGAAATGTTTTTTTTTCCACGCAGGAGCGGATGACAACTCCTTAAATAAGCCTGAATGTCCTTTCGAAAACACACTTTTAGAGTGGTAGTCATTGAATGTGAACTCCACCCTTACCTGAATGCAGATGATGAATGTAAGAGATAGTATATCTGATATTGCCTGGTGATGTCTGTTACTGCAAAGCTGTGTTTTTATGGTTTATTTTGGAATGTACATCTCAAAATTTTTGCTGAGTCAAAAATTTTCCAGGGTCGGGGGGAAAATGTAGTGTTATGCTTACATACATACTTACATATCATTTTACACTATTTTATTTTTATTTTTCCATTCTGTTTTTGATTTTCTACATTCACCTCAAAACTGGATATTTTGCATCACCTTTATTTCCATAGGATCCTGTAATATTTTTAATTCATAAGAACACAATAACAAATCATTTTCACTTCGTATTTTCACGTTATCAGCACTTTATAAATCGGTGTCAATGGAGTCTACCTTTTTCGATCTTTTATTTAGTTCTCCGTAACTCTACAATTTCGGGTTTCGTGCGCGCTCTTGCGCTACCCTTTTTCCTATATAAATAATATCTCATTTTTCACTTAAATCTTGCCGTTTCTGTATTACGAGCTTAAAACCAAAATTTGACATGTTTTGACATCGTTGTTTATCTGGTTGTCGTGGCAATTTTTATTCAAATATTGTTACCGGCCTGATGTTTTTACTTCAAAAATACTCTTTTCTTCTTGGCCATTTACAAAAATTTGCTTTTAATTTAAATAATTTCAAATAATTTCTCGTTCTTATCCCAGATCCGTCAAAAAGTATAAAAGCCGAAGAATCGGCCGATAGAGGTCCTCACTTCAGCTTTGATACGAGAAGCACCTCTTAAAGGCTTTATCCGCACTGCCTCGGGATCTTGCAAGCCTTCTCCTGAAGTCGTCGCCTAGCCACGCCTACGCCTCCACCTATTAGTGCCCGCGCTATCTTCGGCCGCTGAGCGTGTTTGTCTCAAGCGCTGCGTGTTCCTACTCCAGACGCTGCGTGTCTACTCCGGACGCGTGTGTGTCTACTCCGGACGTTGTGTTTGCCTACTTCAAGCGCCACGTGTACCTACTCCAGACGCTGCGTGTCTACTCCGGGTGCTGCGTGTATCTGCTCCGGGCGTTGCGTGGGCCTACTCCAAGCGCTGCGTGTACCTTCTCCAGACGCTGCATGTGCTTTCTCCAGATTCTGCGTGTACCTAGAGCAGGCGCTGCGCACCTATCATAGGCATAGCCTGTGCATACTTCGTTGCAGTATCTTTATTTTTGTTATTTTTTTTTAATAATATTGTAAATCACTATCATCATTACAGCCCATCATCACCTTCATACCTTTTTTTATAAAAGAAACTGTAAATCTTTTCAAATTTTTAAATAATTTATTTTATTTTTGGTTGTTTTGTTGTAGTTAGGTTAGGTTATTTAGTTTTTAATTGTCGCTTCACGACAACCCATTCGATGCCACCTTTTTTTAAAAGTTGTTGACCAGGTGCCACCAGTTTTTATTATGTTTTATGGTATGAAATGGATTACTAATGACGTATTTAGATTTTTTTCAAATAAATATTGTTGATAAATACGAAAAAATACACCAAACTCATACGGTGCGTGGGTGGCACATGGTGAAAAAAGTTTTTCGAGAGATCCGAGAACGCACTTTTGAGAGTATATAGTGGATAGCTATATGCACGACTGGGAAACATGAACCAATAGTTAAATTGTTAGGGTGTATGGTAGGTGACAGAAATAAAAATACTCATATAAGATCAAAGCAGACTTTAATTCTCCTTTTTCATAATTATATTATAAGTACGTATTTTCATAATAAATATTATAGTAAAATGAAAAATATTTATTTAGCAAATACAGAAAATATTTTAGCCCAAGAGCTTCAGCATAGTTATGTAAAACAATATCTAAAAAAGCTAAAAGATTAAGCAATGTAGGTATTCTATCAGAATACATTATACAAGATTTTAGTAAATGATTTGTTATCACAGTCTGCTTGGGCAACCATATCGATTACAATTGCCTTCGAAGTTGAATGTAATTCTTACACATTTTCGACAGACCAAGTTTTAACTACACCACTAGAAGATGTGCAAAATACTGGAGACTGATTGAATAGTTGTTGTTTACTGAAACAACAATATTCTATTGAAAAACTAAACTTAAAAATACTCTCAAAACTAAAGAAAAGAAATGTGTAGGTTACCTACCTTTGAACAGAATGTGGGAATGGCAATATTGGGCATCGTGTTTCAATAGAATTTCGCCGAATATTCTTAGGTTCCACTTCTACTGCCGTATATAAAGAGCTCGCCCTTTTCTGCTTTAAACCTGATGTGCTACTTTTATCTCTGAAACATTTTTATTATCCGATTTGTTGAACTTTAAAAAATAACAACATTCAATATATTGATTTTAAATAGATAAAATCATTCTAACCATTCATATTAATAGATAAAGATCAACTGTCTGTACCTATCTTGTGAATAACTTTCTTTTCTAGCTTGTAAATTAGTACCTTCGGCAGTATTAAGTGACAATTCAACCAAACGACGACCTCTATTATTATTTGCCATAATGCTTGAGGAGAAAACAAAAGACCTATAAACGACAAAAATACTAGTTACTTTACACAATTCATCCCATTCAAATTTAAAAATAAAAGCGTTTTTTCACAAACGGTTTTATTTTGTACCATGTAGGTAGGGTATGTAATACGAACACTGAAGTTAAATATCTCAAGTTATAAAATAACATTATAAAGTTACAATAGCAGCAGTAGCATTGAGCGACCGATTATTGTCGATGTGTAACACCATCCATGAACAAAGTCGTTCATAAATGCCATTGAACGCAACATTAGCGTTGGTATGTTTTTGGACTTCAAAATTTATCCAAAATATTATCAGTAGACCTAAAATTACGTTGTTGTTATAAATAAATGACTAAATTTGATTAAAAAATCATATTTACTTACCTTTTAATACCTAAATCACTGTAAAAACTTGATTTATAATACTAGCAAAAATCACAAACACAAAAACCGACGTCAATTCAAATGTGACATTTCTTTTACTACTGTAACGGTGTTGCTATATCAGAAATATAATCTAGATTGAGGTGTATTAAAAAATGGCAACAATAATGCAACGCACAGTGAAAAAATGATACTTTATTAAAACATACACAACACGCATACGGGTGCGTTGCAGGCACACAAGTAAAAAAAAAACTAAAACGCACGCGAGTGCGTTGCTGGCATGGAATGGGTTAAGAAACAATGCTACGCTTGTGGAGTGTGCGAGTGATGTCGGCGGGTTTTTTTTTCCTGAAAGTGTGTGCTGTTGGCCCTGGGACCTTTATAGATTCATCGAAATGGACTCGTGAGCGAGAACTCACGAGCTATTGAGTGCAACGATTCTGCCGGTGGCGAGCAGTCCCGAGACACCCCAGGCACTACGTAAGGCTCTTCTAGCTAGGCCCCAGAAGGAGGTACGATCTTCGGCTTGAACGTCGGCGGTCTGCGGCGACGCGTCTTTTATAAAGTGCCTACGGTAGCGCTGCTTAGTTCAAGAGACACAGTCTTTAATAGACCAATGAGAGGTCAGAGAGGGATGTATGTGTGTGTGTGTGCGTGCGTGCGTGCGGGCGTGCGTGTGTGCGCGTGCATGTGCGTGTGTGTCGGGGGAGGGAGGTGTGGGTGTGTTTGGGTATGTGTAGTATGACGTATAGGGTGTATATAACTACTTAAATCTAACTATAATGACTATTATTTACCTGCATAATATCTTAGACCTAAGCTGTAATTTACAGACTGACTCGAATATAGGTTATTCTTTTAACTTCTCAGTTTCCTCGCCCATTTACTTTACCTTGGATGACGTGAATCGATCGACGAGATCGAAATCACTGCATTATTCCCTTACCCTTAAAGTTCGATGGAATGGTAACGAGACTACCGGAGACAGGCGCTGGTCAACAGCTTGCGGCAGCAGCAGCAGCGTGCTTTCCGAGGCATATGGATAAATCACCGCCGATTTCAAGACTCCAGGCTGCTAGTGAGAATTTCTTTGCAAAATATTCCACTTACTGATTTTGGCCCGACCTCATGGCAACATAAGCGACCCCCCACTAGATGGAGTGACGACCTGGTAAGACATGCAGGAAGACGATGGATGCAGGTGGCTCAGGACCGTGCTTTGTGGCGTACCTTGGGGGAGGCCTAAGTTCAGCAGTAGACTTGTGAAGGGCTGTAATGATGATGATCGCCGACACGAGCGCCGCACTGGTAGGGAGGTTGTATCCGATCCAGCTCACAAGGATCGTCCGTTCCCGTTCACGTGTTTACGATCACTGGACTAACGAGGCAGTTTATATTCTTTATTATAGTCATATACTAAAATTTATAAAGCCTTATGACAATTTCTGTCTTTTATACTATAATTAATCTTTCCATATAAAATAGAAATATTATTTTTATTTTTGTACGTATTGATGTTATGATCTCTATGTTTGATACTTTGTGAAAAAGAGTGAATCAAAGCAATGAAAATTGGGAATTTTGACGGGAACTGGATCGTCGACATATTATGCTCCTGTATTTTAAAGTGGATTTTTATACGTAAAAGTGATGCAATTTTGTATATTAAATGTATGGATGTGAACTATTAGTAGAAGACAAGTTTTCTTTCGGTTCGGTGGTGATATAAACTTCAAGGTTTTTTATCTGCTTGGGCGGTTTAGCATACTACAAGAGCAGCATTGAGCTGTTATTTTAAGCTTGTTTGTGTCACTTCTTCCTAGTACGGCCCTTCTCTGGTCGAGCCGACTCATTTTTATTACAACCAAAATATAACTGCAAAATGTCTCTACCACATAAAAAGAAAAAAGAAAGCATAGACAAAGGCTAAATGAAACAAAAAAAAATAATTACGATGTTTTATTTAAAAATCACGTTTGCTTAATGCTAAGGTACATCTTGCCGTTGATGTTCTGCTTGACAGGATTGATGCGCTTGAGGATCTGCGTCATGGTCTCCACGAGGCGCTCGCTGCTGACGCCGGTCCGCTTGGATTTGAACTTGGTGAGAAGTTCCGTCGTAGTCATAGGCTTGCGGGCTAGATACCTACGCACCGCTTCCTCGGTCACGCCGCACTCGCTACAAAATGGACGACAACAATTATCAAAAATCTGTTATGAACTGCAGTACGAATGTGCCACTTTGTTGTAGCATAAAGGCGCCTCTACACGTTGGCCAACACAGTGGCGAATGTAGTGGCCAATAGCATTGGCCAACGTGTAGACGGGGTGTTTGGGCTTCATTGGTATGTATTGGAACGATGGCCCGCAAGTTGACGCGAGATCCGTATGGTGTCGGTTTTTTACAAAAGATCAAAGGATTGTTGGCAGAGTGGTCGCCGTGTCCACACGTTGGCCGCGCGTTTAGTTTGCTACAAGCTCCCAGAGTGATTACACGCATCTGGTTTAAATTTTATATTCAAGCTTTGTAGGGTGGATGCCCCAATTACCAGCCTTTTAGTGCCAATTTCAACTTTAAACATTCCTATTAATTTAACTAGCGCGATTTAATTATTATTAAATATTTGTTTTAATCAATAAGCTATTTATCAAAAAAAAAATTAACTTTTTTACAATGAGATTATTACGAGAACAATTTTAAAATGAAAAAAAAATGAAGCACGTCGTTTATACGTGGTAGAACCATGCAATTATATTAGAAGTATAGTTGTAGCACGAATGGGTCGGTTCGACCGGGGAAGGACCACGCTCTCACAGAATATCAATGTAAAATAGTAGCTTAATGATGCTGTGTTTCGTATAGTGAGTGTAGAGAACCAGAGACACTTTTTAAAGGTAACGAGGCATTTCATCTTAGTCCTCACGGGTGAAAACGCATCTGCATCTTGATTCGTAATCGAGGATAGATGTAGATGTCTATTGTCTACAGCAACCACTTACCATCAGGTGAACTGTGTGCTCGTTTGTCACCCTATCCTATATAAAAAAGAGTCGATTTCTTATAATTTAATCGTGCAAGTTTTCGAATCATCATCATCATTACAGCTCTTCACAAGTCAACTACTGAACATCCTCCTCCACAGACTGCCGCAAAGCATGGTCCTGAGCCACTTTGCTCGTCATGAGTTTTTCATTTATGTTCTGTTATAATTAGTACCTATTATTAAGTCAGTGTTAATTATATTTATTGTTATTGTTTTTGTCTTTCTCAAAAAATAATTAAATTACCAAATAAATTATAAGGTGTTTTTTATGTACATCAAATGTCTGATAGAAATGCAAGTACATATTTTGCTAAACTTTAAAATCAAAACCCAATTTTAAAACATAGACTAATCGATTATAACTCCTTTAACTTTAAAATAAGTTAAGTTCTTATTAATGGTTTTTATTCCAGTTTATGATGCATGTAAAGAATAAATAAAGCTAATCGTATATTGTATATCTATTTACAACCCCATTAATATCCACTATTATTTTATAATTCTTTTATAAAAACGTTAACCCCACACTAGGATTTTCTCCCGTATCGCGCAGGCAGTTTACAAACATATATTGCACAAGGACACACATCCAGACCCGAAACAATTATTTGTAGGACATACAAATACTTGTTCCGTGCGGGATCAAACCCGCGGCGCCCGGCGCAGCCACTCATTGCTGAGCCACTGCGCCACGGTGCTTATAAATTCGTCCGCACATTGGCCCGAACCGAAGTAAACTGAACGACCTTCCAACGTGTGGACTCGCGGCCAATATATTCGCCACTCCATTCGCCACTGTGTTGGCCAACGTGTAGAGGCGACATAACGTCGTTTTAGTTCGGCAGACTTCGGCCTCGGTTCGGCATCGTGTTTGTGTGCGTGCGACAAGACGTATGCGTGTACATAAGCTGCTAACTGAATATATTCCTGAATAACCACTTCACAACAATTTCCTTTTAGTAAACAAAAAGAAAAATTAGACAAATATTTAAATAATTTTAATTAAATATAGATTACAAGAATAATTATTGAAAGTAATTTAAGCTTTAGCACCGGTTTGGAAGAACCTCTATCCTTGGTTAGAACAAGAAACCCAGTGGAAATTGTACTTGTCACTAGGGTTGCCATAAACAAAAAAGGATGAATGAAAATGTCATGTGGCTTTAAGGCATGGAGTTTAGAGAAAAGGAGAACGATCGCTGTAGCAAATAGTGTCCCAGAAATATGGAAAAATTAAGTAAGGCGCTGCGATCGCTAAGTTGTCTCAATAAAAGCGGGCTGTTGGGCACTAGTCTAAAATTATCTATTAACGTTTAATATACATTTACGAAATTATTATTATTATTTATTAGTAAATAAATAATAAATTATGTTTTTTATAATTATTACAAATATAAATTATTATTAATTTATTATTATTTATTTTCTTAAAATAAAAAATTACGGAGCATGATCATTTTCAATTAAACTTTTACTATATGAATTTCTTTTTATAAAAATGTTATATTTTAACGATTAAATTTGTACATTATTCCACTAACTTCATCTACTTGTACTTATAAACAGCTAACTTCATAGATACTACTTGCCGACGGCAGCGCGGCTATAAATTCTACAAATTTTCAGGGACAGTCGGGCTAATGCTTTTTAACACGTAGCGATCGTTCTCCTTTCTTCTAACCTCTAAGCTTTAAGGCCTGGTGTATTGTATATAAATGTATACTGACATGTAGGAGGAGTCGAGCTTGTGGCGCTTGGCGGGCGGCTGCGAGCCGGATGCGTGCGCGGCCGCCACTGCCGCCGCCGCGCCTCCGCCCCCCGCGCCAGCCCCGCCAGGCTGCGGAGTGCCCGCACGCGACGTGCTCGCTGACCCCGGCGCTGCCCAAGAAAAATAGAGTTTTATATTATGCGCATACGGTGCTTTTCTACAGTTAAGAACTCACTGAGCTGTATTTATCCACGTCCATAGCAGCACCGATATTGCATTTCAAGCTGGTAACGCTCACAATGACCTAGGGATCCGAGACGTGTTCCTTCACTGCTGGGCGTATGAGGACGCTCAAAGTCACTCAGTGAGCTATGGAGAGGACTATGCTCGGAGTTTCTCTGCGTGATAAACTTAGAAATGAGGATATCCGCAGGACCGTCATAGCCCAACGGATTAGTAAGCTGAAGTGGCAATGGGCCGGCCATATAGCTCGAAGAACCGACAACCGTTGGGGAAAAAAGGTTCTCGAGTGGCAGCCTCGTACTGGTAAGCGTAGTGTAGGGCGACCCCCCACTAGATAGAGTGACGACCTGGTAAGACATGCAGGAAGTCGATGGATGCAGGTGGCTCAGGACCGTGCTTTGTGGCATACCTTGGGGGAGGCCTATGTTCAGCAGTGGAGTTGTGAAGGGCTGTAATGATGAAAAATGATCGCAATTGTAGCGGACAGAAGCAGTTCCTCTACCGTTGCGAGCGCGGTTAAATACAAAGACTTCTTTACATACTACTAGACGAGCGACTCAGAACAAAAACTGTGTCACAGCTGCGGATCGCGAAAACTTCCAATCACGTTGACAAAGATTTCTTAATCACATTAAACAAAATCAATGTTAGATTGTAGATAACAACGTTCGCGGTTAACAAAACAAAGAACTAGTCTTCTCGCCCGCTCACTACCAACAAAAGAAATTCAAAGAATTAAGCGTAACTTAATGCACAATGTATTAGTACCGTACTGCCCGTCTTTATAGTACTTAGTCAGGTCATAAGTTCCGTCAAAAACTTGAAAAAGTGTATCATTAATTTTATAAAATTAATGATACACTTTTTGATAATTATAAAGAAATTATACATGAAATGAAAGGTAATTTAATTTAGAATATAATTTTATTTACATTATTCAAAATGCCGTCCCTTATTTTGAATAGAAGCCCTTAATAGACGCGCCCAATCATCAATCGCAGCACGCACCACACTTATATGTATTTCTGCTGCTGCTTTAGCCAAAGATGCTCCAAGAAATTCCAAATTCTTATGAGGTTTAGCGCAGACTTTCTCCTCTAAATGTTGTCATATCTTATAATCCAGTGGGCTTAAATATGGACTAGAAGAGGGCCAGTCTTCATGTCCGATAAAGTCTATTCCATGGGCGGTCAACCACTTTTGCGTACTTCGTGCCCTATAAGCTGGTGCAGAGTCCTGTTGGAATATCCAATATCAGTTTTTGAACATTGTTTGAGAAAGAGGTTCCACTATGTTTGTTAGGACGGTATTTTGGTGGTACACGTTGGCCTTGGTTTTTTACACCTTTTTCACAGAAAAACCTGATGTGTTTTCAGCCTGAATATGAGACTCCAAGCCAAACCATGAGTGACGAAGGATAATTTGCTCGTGGAACCCTCGGAATACAATACAAATTCGAGGTATTTTTTCCCGCGTACCGCCGTAACAAAGCGCGTGATCTATCCAGCCTATTTTTTTTTTTAAAACGCTCGTTCAAAAAATGTCCGGTCTTCGGTTCTTCCGGTCGGTTACGATAACCTCATAGTCCTAGGTAGAACCTTAGGTCCGAGGTCGAACCACGGTCAAAAGAGTGATCAATGAATGATCACTCTTTTGACCGTGGTTTTGCTTAGGCCCATCTGATGAGCTAAGATTTATTGTTTACGAACAGGATTTCGTTGGATTCGCGCCATCACTGCATTGATGATCGCGGGTGTCGTAACTGTATTAGATCGGCCGATCCTCTTACGATCTTCGAAGCTTGAATCTTCAGTGAATCGTTTGATAGTGCGATAAATAAATCGTAGGGTTATTTTCAAGTTTTGTAAAATATTGAAAATCTCTTTTGGCGCGTAACCACAGCAGTGCAACGCGATAACCGCTACTCTATCTTCTTTCTTCGACCACTCCATATTTGAAAATTAATGAAAATTAATGTCTATTTCATTTTCGGCAAGCGCAAACATAATTTTTTTAAAATTGGTGAAGTTCATCTAACCAATATTCAAAAAATTTAAATAATAAGGTTTTGGCAGAACTTATGACCTGACTAAGTATACATAGAAGTCTTTGGTTAAATATCTCTAAATTGCGCAATTGCGAATCTGAGCACAACAGACTAGGCACATCGATCTGAGATCGATTGATCGAAGAATCAATTGCTTGTGCAAAAAGATCGATTTTTAATCAATACATAGTACTGAATCGATCCAGTGATTCGATATTTCACCCTAGAAAATCAAGGTAGAATCTTTTTCTGTTTTGTTAGAATTTTAAAATTACTAACAAATTAGTTGGTTGTACCCAAACTCGTAAATAACGACAGTTTTTCTATTCAAAAACTAGCAAAACACAGCAGAGTGACCAGGTTCTTTCGCCTCTTGTAAATGGATTAACGAAATAAAAAATAAGTTACGTTTGTAATCTGTACTTTGTACGAATCCGAAAGCAAATCGAAAAAAGATCGATTTTTGAGAAATCGTTTTTTTAGACCTCGATATTTTTGTGAATTGATTCATCAGATTTCAATTCGAATCGATTTAAAAATCGATCTTTATCGGAAAGAATCGACATCCTTACAACAGACATATTGCCCGCAATATCCGCATAATCAAAAATTTGGTACGTACGTTTTTTCTTTTAAAAAATTGTCGTCTATACAGTTACATTAAAAACTTTATTACCTATTTTTCGAATGTTGTCTTCATATGAAGACTATCTATGAAGTATAATCTATTTGATAAAAAACGAATTATTGACATCGGTTGATAATTGACAAAGATTGAAGAAGACGTATTTTTACGTGGTAGAGCCATGCTGCAGTTATATTAGTAGTATAGTTGTAGCACGAATAGGCCGGCTCGACCGGGGAAGGACCACGCTCTCACAGAACACCAGCATAAAATAGTAGTTTAATGCTGCTGTATTTCGTATGGTGAGTATAGAGATCCGGAGACCCCTTTTTACTGGAAACGAGGCATTCCATCTTAGTCCTCACGGGTGACAACGCATCTGCATTCTGTTTTTTAATCGAGGATAGATGTAGATGTCTATGGGCTGCATCATCCACTTACCATCAGGTGGACTGTGTGCTCGTTTGTCACCCTATCCTATTAGAAATAAAAAAATAAAAGATACATAGAAAAGAAAAACGGACCGAATTGAGATTTCTTTTTTTTTTTATCTGGTTGAAAATAACAAAATCTAATTCACCTAGGACTAGAACCACACAATAGCATTTATGTAAGAGAATAGATGTATTTCGTGTATAAAAATATATGTGAATCACCTGAAGAGTTTGCAGTGGAGGCGTTCTTGTCGGCGTTGTTTTTGATTTTCTTCGGCTTCTTGTTGCTGCCCTCCGGGTCGGTGTCGGAGTCCGAGCTGAAGTCGCTGCTTGAATCTGTACAACGATTCAGTTTTAGTCAAGTTTAAAAACTTACTCAACTTTGGCGGTGAACTAAAAAAGCGGGCAGAGGTGAAAAAATTTTAGTTGGAACGGAGATGTTCGTTTTCATGGCCGTTCGTAACTCCTTATACGTGGTAGAGCCACGTTGCAGCTATATTATGGTCGTAGCACGAATGGGTCGGCTCGACCGGGAAAGGACCACGCTCTCACAGAATACCAGCGTTTTTTTATATAGGATAGTGTAACAAATGAGCACACAGTCCACCTGATGGTAAGTGGTTGCTGCGGCCCATAGACATCTACATCTATCCTCAATTACAAAACAAAATGCAGATGCGTGTCACCCGTGAGGACTAAGATAGAATACCTAGTTTCCAGTAAAAAGGGTCTCCGGATCTCTACACTCACCATACGAAACACAGCAGCATTAAGCCACTATTTTAAGCTGGTATTCTGTGAGAGCGTGGACCTTCCCCGGTCGAGCCGACCCATTCGTGCTTTAACAATACTACTAATATAACTGCAGCATGGCTCTACCACGCATAAAATAGCAGCTTAATACTGCTGTTTCGTATGGTGAGTGCACAGATCCGGTGACCCTTTTTTTACTGGAAACGAGGCATTCCATCTTAGCCCTCAGGGTTGACAATGCATCTGTTTTGATTCTTAATCGAGGATAAATGTAGATGCCTATGGGCCACCGCATCCACTTACCATGAGATGGACTCGTTCGTCACCTTTATCCTTTAAGGTACCGTGGACATGAATTCATGTCCACGTTTTGTGACCGTTGAGTACCGCGGACATGAATTCATGTCCGCATTACGTGCTGCTATTTTCGTCATTAATTGGTATAAAAATACAGTATATTTTCAATTGAACACTATTTCATTCGATTCTGAACGAACTAAAGAATATTCTGTAGCATTATATTCACTCGGTTACATAGACCTCATCAAATATAACAGCCATTTGCTTTTGCGTGCCGGTACGGTGGGTTGCGTAATCGTTGAAGTTTTGTGATTGTGATTTTAGTTGGATTTTCTTTCACAACAACTGTAAGTAATGTTATTTATCTTTACTACGTAATGTTTTTGAATGATCTAAGTTTCAACAGCAGTAATTTTTTATGTTTCAATTGATAAAAAAGTAGAATCAAAAAACCTCTACGCGAACAATTCATAACGGTCAAGATTTCTAATAAGATAATAATAGTATATTTCTTATTCGAATACCATAGTACATACTTTTACTAGGAATTGCTAAATGTTATATCTATATGATTGTATAAGAAAAATAAAGGAAGACGCTATAATATATACACAAAAAGGTTTTGAAAATGAGGTTAAAAGCGCGCGAAAACTGTCTATTGTCGAATTTTTAGCAAATGTTTGCAAGTGAAAAAGTAGAATTATTATAATTATTATAGTTAGGCCGTTCAGAGAATGCGTTCCGGACACGTCGCGATTGAACTGACGACGTAACTTTGTTGTAATGGCGTTGCAGTTACGATAAAAATATGTTTGCTGGTTGTTTACCGTTTTAACAATTGATGAGCATTAAAACAACATTATTATATCAATAATCAATGAATGTTATAATTTTGTGCCAAACTGAGTGTCAAATAACTTGGCAAACAATATTTTTCTAAATCTATACTGCGCTATTACAAGGTTATGTCAGCGCTTTATATTTGTAGTGCTGTGCTAACAATAACAGGCAATAACAGTATCGTAATCTGTTCTTATACAGTTATACTTTATAAAATAATACGTTTTGTTTTTTCTTTTTAAGAATTTGAAAATAATGGACTAAGATAACTTTTATTAAATATAAAAATAAAACTACGACCAAACCGAACGCGCGAAAGAAAGTAGCATTTTTATATTTAGGTTGAAAATGGTAACCCCAAATGGCGGTATGGGCCGCCATTTTGTGACGCTAAAACAGTCGTCTGTTGTCTTTTCGTGCGCATAGACCACGTTCTGCAAGTGTTTTCGATCTGTTTTTATTTGATTACCCGGCTTTCGTTTAATGGACTGTTTCTGCTTTTCAAACTGACGTCGGCGCTAAATCGGACTTCGATTGTGTTTTGTATTGCGTTCGTTTTACTTTTGGTGCATAATAATGCCTAAACGTGGACAAACATTGAAAAGTGGATCCCGTGAGTTAATCATCAAGCTGCAAGATTACTTTGAGCGGGAGCGGCAAAATGGCGGACCTCTGTTACCTGTCGAACAAGTACAAGAACGCGTCTCTCAGGAGCTTGGAGTTAGCAAACAAACGATAACAAATATCAATAAAGAAAGGCACGGAAGATAATATTTTACGTACTACGAAGAAGAAACGTAGAACTAAACCCGTGACAGATATTGACACCTTTGACGCCGATGCAATCAGAAATCATATATATGGTTACTATTCCAGAAATAAATATCTCAACAGGAAGAAGCTTTTGGCATCGTTAAGAGAAGCTGGACTGTTTAGCGGGGGTAAAACTGCTTTAACCAAAATCTTAAAAGATATTGGTTTTTCGTATAAAAAACCAGACAAAAGAAAAATTTTATTAGAACGATACGACATAATTTTAAAACGCATAAGTTTTTTGAGAGAAGCAAAAAATATTGATAACTGGGATAATGTCGTGTTCATTGATGAGACATGGCTAAACGCCAATCACACGGTTTCCCGTTCTTGGACGGATGATACACAAGCGTCGACGTCGAAAGTACTAATGGGTAAGGGGGTCCGTCTGATAATATGCCACGCAGGTTCTGCAAAATACGGCTTTGTGGAGAACGCGTTACTGGCATTTCATTCAAAAACCACAAATGGCTACCATGAGGAAATGAATGCCACTACATTTAAAGAGTGGTTCCAGAACGTGCTTTTGCCCAGCCTACCAGAGCCTTCTGTAATATTCATGGATAATGCCTCCTATCACTCGGTTCAAATACAGAAACCACCTACCCAAGCTAATAAAAAAGAAGAAATGGTGGCTTGGTTGCAAGCAAAAGGCATTGACGCAAATATGCAGATGCTAAAACCAGAGCTAATTAAATTAGTTAAAGAAAATAAAGCGTGAAAATAAAATGTGCGATACGAAATCGATGAACTGGCTCTGGAGTACGGTCATCGCGTTCTAATAATTCCACCGTATCATTGCCAATATAACGCGATTGAGCTAATCTGGGCTCAAATAAAAGGTTACGCCGCCCGCCACAGTACTTCCCCGCCATTCAGCACGAAAAAGATGATGACCCTATTAAAAGAAGCCTGCGGGGAAGTCACAAGAAATAACTGGGCAAAGGTTGTTGAGAAGACTGAAAACCTGATTGTGGAACATTTTGACCGAGATATCAGGATTGATTCTGTTATTGATAATAATATAATTATACATGTAGGAGAAGATGATGATGAAGACACCACCTCCTTAAGCGAATCGGAGTCTGATTAATATTCTGTACGCACATTCAATTCAATGTACTTTATTGCATAGAAATACAGATTGTAACTTTGTAACAAAGAATAAATAAAACAATTTTATTATATTAATATTACCTTTTTTTGGTTTCCACTTAAATTACTAAAATATAAATTTTAAATGATTCCGCCAATTTAAAACGAAAATAATCTTAAAAATAACGCGGCGGTTCATTTTGGAGGAACGGTAACGAACTCAGTGTTATGTTGTGCCCATCACTAGTCGTGACTAACTCATAGGTGTCAGGAACGCATTCTCTGAACGGCCAAACTATACATGCATAACTTCGGTTCATTTAGGAAGAATATGTTGTATTGATTGTAAGGACATAAAAATAAAATAAAAACTTATGATATTTCATTCATAAAATAAAATTTGTTGTCAGTAAGTACACTTCATCAAGATCCGTTAGAAACAAAGAGCTGTACAAAATAAAATAAACATTTAAATGTTATGGTTATTGTTTCTACTTATCGAAAATCTTATCGGCTTTAAATAACTGTAACAAAAACCTCTAAACATAAGTGAGAAACATAAATGTTTATAATAAGTGCCGCCAGCTGAGGTGACAAAGCTGTTTTTTGTTATGGCGAGCGCGACGACAGAGGCCCCTGTACAAAGCTGTTTTTTGTTACGGCGGGCGCAGTAAGAGAAAGGTTAATCTATAAAAAGATACCAGAGATACCATTTGTCAAAGTCGTTTGATTTTGACAAATGGTATCTCTATCAATCTATGATAATTACTCCTGGTGATAGTATTCTATTCCTGCCTGGGGAACCTTCCGAGTCCGTCAGGCTGTGAGACATCCCATCTTAGCAGTCAGAGGTGACAGCGCATTTGTAGCCTGTTTTGTTTGAAGTTGTCTGCAGGTGTCCACGGACGTAGCCACTTACTATCAGGTGCACTGTGGGTGCGTTTGACAATTCATAATGTTACGAGCTTGGGGTTCGTAACAATAAAAACTGCCGACTGAATTACCAAAATTGAAACTTTAATTAACGAAAACCAATTAAACTTTAATGTACTATTGATCACTTTAGTTCGCAGTTGTATCGCTTCGAAGAGTTCGCTTGTATCGCCAATTCAATACTGACTCGGGTCGCGGTCTCGACCGGCCTTATATAGGGCTTCTTCTACTGAAGCATCTAGAATGTTCGTGTACGTACCGGTCCCGACTTAGAATAGAAATATATATGTAGATATAGAGATGATAGAAATATAGGTGTAGAAAGTTCTGGCATGGAAATCTCTAGAATGGTATTGACTCTCTTAGTTTTGCTACTCGATACTAGAGGGCGCTAGTGGTAACAAATGTCACCATGTACCAGGCATTAATTATGGCGCGCAACAATATTATTAAAAAAACGGTCCATTAGGATTATAGTGCAGGTGAACAAACACAGGTACACGCTGTATTCCCTCACTCCTTAATCCGATAAGACGGTAATCCGACACGACCGGAGCAAGATAGGAGGGCAAAGCTTTGACGGGCTTTCCAAGCTACGTAGGTGACACACCGCCGATTTCCTGACTACAGACAGCAACTGAGAATTTCTTAACAGAACAAGCAAATAATAGGCTTTATCCCGAGGACCCGGAACCCATACCTTACGTACACCAAACCATCGAGGCTATATTTTAATACAATATATATTTATTATATTCCTTAAAGGAGGCCGAAGATCACCAGTGGATTTATGAATGTATGTAATGATGATGATGACATGCACGTAGTTGCTACCTTTTTTGCCGTCTTCTAGCTTCTTCTTGCTCTTCTTAGTGAGCTTGCTGGCGCGCTCCTCGCCCTCTTTCGTGGGCTCGTCCTCTTGCTCCGACTCTTGTTTCTGTTCTTGTTCCTCTTCAGAGTCCTCGTCCGATGTCAACAGCTTCCTGCAAGGTTATACTTATAATTATATAAGGCACACACAAACAGACATACACATAGGTCTCTATGTGTATGACACTCACACACACACAACGCTCCATTATGAAAATATTTAATAAAATTTTTACCTTAAAAAACTGAACTGAAAGTTAATATAAACAGTTTAAAAATCTATGTTGATTTGGGACCGTTGATTTTTATAGAAAATATGCAGCTTGCACATGTATGTTTAGCTTTTAACATGCTATTAAAGAAGGTGAATGAATAAAAGAGTTACCTGAGAGCATCTTCCTCTGCGACACCTTTCAGCTCCTTGTTTGCCTTAGTCTCATGATCAGACTCGCTGTAACAATAAAAATCATGCGTCTTTTAATACGGACTTATTCAATAAAAGTAACACAAATGTTATACATTTGTAAAAGTCATATTAGAGCACTTTTTTACTGGTTCATAACAAGAATTTACACTTAGAATTGCAATACATTATAAAATTATCATGGCGGTGATAATGTTTTTTTTATTTGACCTGATGGTAAGTGGTAACATTTATCCTCAACTAAGGATCAAAATGCAAATGCGTTGTTACCCCTGAGGACTAAGGTGGAATGCCTCGATTCTAGTATAAAGGGTCTCCGGTTCTCTACACTCACTATGCGAAACACAGCAGCATTACGCTACTATTTTATGCTGGTACTGTGTGCGAGCGTGGCCCTGCACCGGTCGCGCCGACCCATTCGTGTTACAACTACAGAATAGCTCTACCACTACTAAATAGCTGCAGAATGGCTCTACCACTTAAAAGTTAATATCATAGGTTGTGTTCAGCAATGTTTTTTTATTTTTTATTTTAGCGCATGCAATTTAATTTATTCATTGTCACGCTTAATTGAGAAAAAATCCAAAATATTTAATTTTTCTTTCAATATTTTCTTTTAATTTTTTTTTTTTTAGTTTATAAATATAAACCTTCTCCATTGAAAAATACATGTGTAATGTGTATACCAATTTTCATGTTGTCGATCAAATAGATTTTGAGTTAAACAATTTCATATTTACAAACATTCTCTTTTATATGTATAGATGGGTTAGTAAGTTACAGGCTATCAAAAGTCCCTATTCTCGATTTAAGTAAGAGTAAATTAAGAATCAAAATGCAGATGCGTTGTCACCACTGAGGACTGAGATGAAATTACACTCACCATGCGAAACACACCAACATTAAGCTGCTATTTTACGATGATATTCTGTAAGAGCATGGCCCTTCCCCACTCAAATCAACCCATTAGTGCTACAGCTATAATATAGCAGCATGGCTCTACCACATAAAACTCCACATGTCTATGACACTTTACCGTTGATAGTTCCAGCAGAATCAGAATCATAGATTCAAATAAACTGTGAAACTATAGTATTTTATTATTTTGAGTTGTAATCAGGAAGATGCTGCTGCGTATCTCTATCTCTTTTCCCTATCCCGCTGTCGATTCTTGCACCCACAGGTTGATATGAGTTGTGGAATAAGCGTCTTAATGTACAAGCAAAGTTACCTTTCGGATGAATCCGATATGTAGTCTCTTTCCCTTCCCTCCTCGTCACCATCATCGCTCTCTTCGAACGCCTCATCTTCTACTTTCTTCTTCTTTTTGGTTGTGGCCGCTGAAGACAAGTATCAAAACTATAATTATATTCAGCCCCCCTGAGCGATTCAAAAGTTAATAAAAAATAAAAATATAAATTTCCTCGCAACCTTCCGCTAACTAATTACAATGATGTGTCTTACCTGGATTGAAGAGCACCTCCCGCCCTCCCTCAATTGCATGCACTAACTCCGTCACCACTAGTCCCAGCACCACTACTCCCGGCACCACTATTCCAAGTAAAACACACCATCGACGATAATACGACACGTGTTTCGCCTCTACACGAGGCATCTTCAGGTGCCGTAGACAGATCAGTACAAGACATATCATTGTATTTTTTTTTAATTTTATATTTTTATTTTTTATTATAATGGATTTCCGCAAAGTAACGCCTGATTCTATCAATTATGCTAAAAAATTGCCTAATTAGTAAAACATATTACGACGCAAAAAAGAGTTTATGTCATAATTTCGCTAAAATTAGCCGTGTACCTTTTTTGTCCTTTTTCTTCTTAACCCCAGAGTCACTATCGTTTTCCTTCTCACCGGGCTCGGAGCCCGACGAATCGTCGTCCGAGTCGATCCACTCGTCCATGTCAGATATCTTAAGGTCTGAAAGTTTATTTATTGTTTGAAATATCACTTAGCTTTACCATGATAAAAACACCCACTACACTGGACTTAAAACGAGGATTTCCTATGTCAAAAGGCTTTTAGCGCTTCCTTCTCCGCTGTATGCATATTTGTTTTTCGTTTTTGTCATTCGGTGGACTAAAAATTACTTTATTTGAAAGGTATTTGCTTATTAACAAGAAATAAGGGATCAATATAAAAATGTGGCCGATTAAAAATCTAACTCAATAACATGCATTTCACATTATTATCGAAAAATATATGCTAATCGCTTAAAAAAATGAGAACGCGGTCGTCAAAGTTTTTACCCGGCGATTATTTTTTATTTTATCTCGATTAATACATATTTTAAAAATCCATTCAGTTAAGAGCACTGAGTATTTCATGTATGTAAAATTTCCGCGCATATCTTTATACATATAAACTACGTGTCACATTGTTTGTCCGCGATGAATTCCTAAACTAGTGAACTGATTTCAATGAAGTTTGCACATTGGGTGAGGATTGGTTCAACTTGAAAGATAGGGTAGTTTTTATCCCGATAGGTGACCTTAAATACTTTTTAATACGTATTTAATATTTTTCTATAGGAAGGGTCATCGAAAAAGACAGAACAACGTCTACCTGACCAACTAGCACTACTTAAAGTCAAAATAGTGTCTAAAATACGATATTTTTGTCCAACCTTGCCTGGCAGTATTACTTTATACTTATGGCGCGTGTCGATTACGCAGGACATAAATTTCCACAATGACCGCGTGGCCTCATAGTTAGAATAGACGGCTAGTGTATTGCGATTTCAATTTTAAATTGCAGCAACTACCTATCTTATTGTTATTTATGGAAAAAATACGAATTGTTAGAAGGCAACTGTGTCGACAATTATACACTTGGATATCTCAGGGGCTTAAGCGGCCTTTGTAAATTGTTAGAAGGCAACTGTGTCGACAATTATACACTTGGATATCTCAGGGTCTTAAGCGCCCTTTATAAATTTTATAATTCGCGATTAACCAGTTTATATTCATATATAAATAAACGAGTTTCCAGAATATTGTGGAAACTCGTAAGAAATACCAGGGGACTTTCAAAACAGCCTAGATTGAATGCGATACGAGACGAGAATGGCTGTATTCTGAATGATGAGGTGTTGAGTCTAAAGAGATGGAAGGAATATTTTGAAAGCGTATTTATGAGTGAGGAGAAGTGTAAACTAAATGAAATAGAAATTCCGAAAGAAGATGAAAGAGATAGGGTATATAAGTAGTGTATAGATGAAATAATGAAAGCAATGAAAAGCATGAAAGTAGGTAAGGCTGCCGGATATGATAGAGTTTCACTCGAATTGCTAAGGGCTGGAGAGGACGTGGTGGCAGGCCTGCTGTACATCTTGTTTAATTTATGTTGGGAACTAAAGCGGGTACCGGGAGACTGGTGCAAAGCCGTGATAGTCCCAATATGTAAGGGAAAAGGGACATAGCAGAACTGTAAAAACTACCGTGGTATCAGCCTTCTTAGCATTGTGGGAAAACTGTATGCTAAGGTACTAATTGAAAGAGTTATGAAAGAAACTGATGAAAAAATTTGGGATGTGCAAGCGGGATTTAGAAAGGGAATGGGGTGTACAGATCAAGTCTTTTCCATGCGCATGATCGCGGAGAAGTTTTTGGCGAAAAATCAAAAAGTTTTTTGTGCGTTCATGGACTTGGAAAAGGCTTATGACAGAGTGGACAGGGATGTGTTATGGCAAACGCTGAACGCATTTAGGTTGAGCGCTGGTTTGATACAGGCATTAAAGTCTCGTGTATAGGGACTCGAGTGCTTGTGTTAGAATCAACGGGGTCTACTCGGACTTGTTTGGCATCCATAAAGGTGTCAGACAGGGCTGCGTAGCTTCCCCGTGGCTGTCCAACCTATTTATGGACAGCTGTTTGGAAAATTTGAAAGTTGAAGAATGCGAATTAAGAATGGTGAGTTAACCATCAAATGCCTTTTGTACGCCGATGATCAAGTCATACTTGCGTCGTCGGCGGCCGAGTTGCAAATGATGGTTACATTAATGAACTGGTCATTAAAAGAAAGGGGAATGAAAGTGAACGCAAGTAAGACGAAAGTGATGGTTTTTGAAAGAGAAGAAAGCAAAACGGTATGTGAAATAAGAATAGAAGGAGAGTTAATTGAGCAAGTGGATAAGTTCGTATATTTGGGATGTGTATTCAGCAGGGATGGGAGATATGATAAGGATATTGAACGACGAGTGAATGCAGGAAATAAAGTAAATGGGGCTCTACACTCTATTGTGAAAAGTCAGAATGTGTCAAAAAAGGCACGTATGGTAATTCACAGTGCTGTATTAGTCCCTACTTTAACGTATGGTAGTGAAAGTTGGGTGTGGCAGAAGAAGCACGAGAGTAGAATAAATGCAGTAGAAATGCGGTCGCTAAGGAGTATGTTAGGGCTGAATCTGAGTGACAGAGTGAGAAACTGTGTGATAAAAGAAGAGTGTGGTTTGCAAGATGATGCGGTGACCAGGATTAAGAAAGGAATGCTTCGGTGGTTTGGTCATGTAGAAATAATGAATGCGGAAAGACTGACAAAGCAAATATATGTTGCAGAAGTGAATGGAAGAGTCGGAAAGGGACGTCCTAGGCGGAAGTTTGTCGACCAAATTGGCGATATACTAAAAATGAGCCAAATTAAGAGTACCCTTAACCGACGAGCATGTATGCGTAGGTATATGGATGTGGAAGAGGCGAGAAAGGTATGTCAGGATCGTGCTAAATGGAAGTCTGTAGTCTCTGCCTACCCCTCTGGATGACAGGCGTGAGTGTTTATGTTATTCATATATCATCAACAAAGGGGTGAAAACATGCCGACCATCTGGTTGTCCGATGGTTGAAAGAAGAGGGAGGAATCAACGCATATAATTATTTTAACTGTTGTGTGGGAGCATCATAAGATTGTCGTATATTATTAAATACTGAGATATTTATATTTAATTGTCAGATACGACAAGGCATTTGTCGTCTTCTTTGTTTAAAGAAAAAAGATGTTTCACCATTGGTCAAAAATGTTAAAGAACTCGCGTAAAATTGGCATGGACTGTAAAATATAAATGAATTAATATAATAATCTGTCTACCTTTCTTTGCCTTGGAGCCCTTTGTTTTCTTCTCGTCGGGATCCTCGCCGTCGTCGACGCCGTCTTCTCCGCGCATCCGCTTGCGAAACATCAGAGAGAAATAGTTTATTACTTTGTTCCGTCTGAAAGAAAATACATACAAAAAAGTAAAATAATTAATATATATCCCACTTACATACCTACAACACCAGAAAGAAAATATACTTCGAATTAAAGATAACTACATAAAAGTAAAATAATCAATATAGATCCCACTTACATACCTACAACCACAGTCATCGTAATAATAAGACAATATAAATCGCATAGATGCGTGACCTTGTCGCCGCTATGATGCGTTGACGTTGACGAACATCATTCACCATTTTGTGATTTAATTGCGCGGGGAACGTCGTACGTGAATTTATGTTATTATAATGGTGAATTGCAGCATAATCAGTTGTAAAAACTCATTAAGGACGTGTAATTAAACTAATAAAGGCATAACATTTCATCGGTAATGGAGTGTATGTGATTATAAAATGCTAATAAGTATGTAATAAAATAAGGTTCATAAATCTGAATGAAGGTAGTATCATAAATATTGCCTGTTAAGACACAAGTATAAATGTCCACTGTTTCGAGGGCACCGCGTCAGTATCACGAGAGCCGCGGGCGAGAGTGGACGTGTAGTGAACCAGTGAATTCCTGACTGTTACAGATAAAGTTGGGCGTTATAACATACAACAGATAATATATTTTATTATATATTTATAATCTTACAACACATTAGAATAATCAACCATTGACTGTTATAATATTATATTCATTATCGTTGGAAAGCCCCATCTAACAAAAGTAATAGTTAACGACTATCATTTGTGTTTAGTTTACTGTCTAACCGTCGTCGGCCTAGAAGCAGCACAAGGATCGCGTATGGTTCACATTAATTTAAACTCAAGGCAACACTCTTAGAGCTTATTTTACAAACACTAAAGATAAATATATTTGCTTGTATTTCGTTCATTGCTAGCTGTTGTTTAATTTTTTGGCTGTTCAGTTAGTTGTCTAGCTGAGATGATAATGACACTGTTATGTTATATTACACGTAATGTTTTAATAGCAGGTGCTTCATATTACGTGACGAATCTATTGTTGTTTTTGTTTGTTTTTCGTAAAGTTTTATACCTAAAGTAATTGTAAATATTTAGTGTAATATAGACAGGATTTCGCATGTTGTATATAAAAGTGCATTATAATGTCGCGCCAGTTAAAATCTCAAAAAAAATGTACATAACATCAATCAACTTCTAATTACGCCTGAATGATTTATTTTTTACTTAAAATGTTTGAAAATATGATTATATAATTATACAGCTTAACATACATTTAGACAGTCCTATGCCTATAAAAAGTAGGAAGGGAAGTTCATTGAATTTAACATACATATTTGAAATGATTCTCTTTTAAAACATGGAACACACAAACGATGCTAATACAACTTATAAATATTTTTATAGCCTTGGTCTGTTTGATATTATCACATCTATCATAATCATATTTATAATCGTTATAACAACAACACAAAAAACGCTAACACAGCCGACAACTGAACGGAACTAACCGCGTGTACAATGTAATATTTGAAACTATTATAATATATTATAACAGTTTAAAACAACAGTTAGAAAAATATATTACGACATCTTAACGAATTAGGAAAATATAACAGTTTCGCCCACCTTTAGTTACAGGTACGTTGATTATTTACTAATTATCGTTGTTTTAACTAATTTACATCTAAATGAATACTTTAATATTTACCTTTGTAAACTTTCATTTATTACTTTTCGTATTGTACAATTACCATTGCTGCTTTTGTTCTACCGTAATGCGCGACGCACGCGACGTTGACAAACTCGCTAAACAATGTAATGTGAAAGATTAGAATCATTGTGCATTGCGTATGTTTATAATACGGCTGCAGGCATCGGTCGCTTCATGCGTATGTGTTAAGATGTGGCGACATCGGTTTTGGAGGTAATCGCTAATTCATTTCAATTGTCTTATTATTACTATTTCTGTACCCACAACCCCAGAAAGAAATATTATTTGAATTAAAGATAATTACATAATAGTGGATATTCTTACAACGCCAGTAAGTAAGTCCGTAAGTGTCGTAAGATGCGAAATACCTGGAGGAAAAATACATGGAGATGGGCGTCTTCCAAATAGCAGCTAAAAATAAAAAACTGCAGTTGATAACCCGCCAGCCAAGAGTGACAACTATGGCAAATATTCCCCTTTTATGTCAAACTATGGGTTAGGCATATATTAATATTCATCAGTGGACTTTTGATATGCTACAAGCCTTTCCGAACCAGTGGTAAATTTAACATGAGTGTCTTTCAGTATTATTCATTATCTTTATTTTTTATAAAATAACGGTGACAAGCAAGCACATGATGGTGAGTGGATGCTGTCGCACATCATCGATATCAACATCTATCCTCCATTAAGAATCAAAATACAGATGCATAGTCACCCCTGAAGACTAAGGCACAAATGGGTTGGCTACACCGGGGAAGAACCACGCTCTCGCAGAATATAAGCGTTAAATAACTGCTCAATGCTGCTGCGTACGAAACGCAACGATACACGTGGTGAGTGTAGATAACTGGAGATCATTTTTACTGGTAACGAGGAATTCCAACTTAGACCTCATGGGTGACAAAACTGCTTTTTGATTCTTAAGAGAACAACCTGTAGGCCATAGAAGTCTATGGGCTGAAGGATCTACTTACCAACTGGGGGCCTGAGTGCTCGTTTGTCATTCTTTTTCTATAAAGAAAGGTGAAGCAATGCGTCCTTAGTTGATAAAACAATTACATAGTATGAGAAAATACCTCCCAAACTCCTGTTCTGCTTCCTCCGCAGACAGCGCTTTGTATCTCTGAATAGGCTGGAAATTATACCTATAATTAAAGAAGTAATAATATGTTATAAAAATATTATAAACATACAAACATATTTACAATTACATACTTGTAGCATACATTGCATACACTGTATATTTATTAATTATATACTGTAACATACTTATCAGTTATATATTATTTATTTATTGATTTCAAATATTTACAAAATTAGATTTTTTGTATGCAAAACAAAAAATTGTTAAATTAAATGGTATTTAATTATCTTAAACCTAAATAATGCTACATTTAAAAATCCTAACCACGCAAAGGCAAGGCGGATGGATCACTAGGTTTTTATATTTTACTGTATTCTACATATCTACATGACATACTGGATGACCTTTACCGTCTGGAAAAATAGGGTGTAACATGTGGACGAAGTAGAAGCCTTATAGCACTGATATTATAATAAAAATAAAAATTTTGAATTAAACGTTTGAGAAAATTTTTTGTACAATCTTTGCCCTTTGCCCTTGAGCCTGTGACCCTGCGAAGTGACAAGGTCAAAGATGCACACTACATTTATTGTTTTATTGCCGATCGTAAAGTAGGGTGGATATGATTTGAATTTCGATAGCTTTTAATTAATTTTTTTATTTAATTTAAAATTTTTGTTTTTATTTTTTATAATTTGTTTTTATTTTTTATAAAATATCAGTGCCATGGGCTTGTACTCCGTTCACATGTTACACCCTATTTTTTCCAGACAGTAAAAAATGTTATCCAGCATATATCTTTATTACTCTTTTCTTTAAGTAGATTGTTTGCATATGCCACGGTTTCTCTAATGATCCAGGATTGAATGGTAAAGAATGCCAAAGAGCATTAAATCCCTCATTAAAAGGTGTATAACAAAGCATCCCAAAAAAAAAATACAAAAGAACAAAGTATTTTAAGGAAAAGTGAAGTGCTGTGTTCTGACTCTGAATGAGCCAGTGTAACCACAGGTTATGAGGCAGTCCATCTTAGTCCACAGAGGTGAGAACGCATGTGTAGTTTTCTTTGTTTGAAATTGACTGCAGGTGACCATTGACCACAGTAGCCACTTACCATCAGGTGGACTGTAAATCTATTTCAAGGAAAAGTAAATTCTGCGAAACGTAAACTAGATATACATGACGTACTTTTCTATCCTTAATGACACTCCCAAAATAAGAGGTGGCCTGTCTTTTATTTATAGCATTGGGTGACAAACAAGTGCACAGTCCACCTAATGGTAAGTAGATGCTGTGCCCATAGACATCCACATTTATCCTCAATTATGAATCAAAATGCAGATGCGTTGTTACCCCTGAGGACTAACATGGAATGCCTTGTATTCAGTAAAAAGGGCCTCCGGTACTCTACATTAATCATACTAAAAACAATCGCATTAAGCAGCTATTTTACGATGGTATTCTGTGAGCGTGGTCCTGCCCCGGTCGAGCCAACACATTCGTGCAATTATGAAAATAACGGGTTATCCTTATACTATACCATTCTTGCAAAGGGTAGGCATCAATAGCGCCATCTGCCGCATGCGTGAACACATAGTATGCCGCGTTCTCAGAAACTCCGCCCTCGCGAATGCCCTTAAACCTGAAACAAACCATGGATAAGTTTGAGATTAAGTTGGTTGTCATCATCGGCAAAGACTTCATGTATAATACTAGACAACTGCGGTCTTAATACATTGCGCACTTCTTTAGTCGACTGAGAGCGGGCAAGTAGATTAGTTCTTTGTTCTTAAAATTTAATTATTTTTGGCATCAACGGCGTCCATTTTGCGTTTAACAACATCCAGGAATTTGTGCACTAAGACAAAAATAGAAACTTTTTTATTCAATATAAATTATAAATAATACTTATTGAAAATCACTTTTTTTATTTACCACTGGTTCAGAAAAAACCTCTGTCTTGGGAAGAACCAAGAAGAAACCCAGAGCGACTATTTTTTTAATAACAGCTTACAATCGGGTATGTTACAATTAACAACACAAAACAAATTAAAAATAGCTTGGTAGCGAGGGTGATTGCCGCAGGGGTTATTATCACCAATAAATTCCTTAATATTATAATAACCCTTTTTATACAAACTTAGTTTAACAAAGTTTTTGAACTTTGTGCAGGTCAGCAGTATCGGAGTATCTATATAGACGCGACATTTGGAATCATTTTCGGGCAACAGGTACGATTACGCCACGAAAATATTGTATTAGAGCCGCACATCTTTATAAAGCAACTGCAATGACCGGTAGCAGAACCACAACTGAAGCCGGCTACCACTTGGAAAAAAAATTCATTCATTCTTTCATTACAGCCCGTAAAAAAATATAATGGCATAAGCCATCCCCGGAAAAACCATGTTCATTCATTCTTTCATTACAGCCCATAAAAAAATATAATGGCATAAGCCATCCACCATAGATTGCCTCATAGATCGGATATTTGCCATTAATATGCTTGGCAGGAGAATTTCCAACTGCAATTTTATTATAATCTCCCTTCTGTTTCATTTCCCTCTATCTCATCTTACCACACCTATGGGATGATATTATGGTGTAGTGGATAATTTTACACTGCAACCACACAGATAATAATTCATAAATAATGATGATTGAGCATTTCTAAAATACAAACGTTTTATGGATGTCGAGATTGTAAACAAATGGTAGTTACCATATATATGGGTCATTTTACAATAAGAGGTAATATGCACGGCAATCATTATGAAACAGATTTTTTATCTTAAGTGTTGTCATTTTATACAATAAAACATCTTAATGTATTGTTGCGCGCTATAACTAATGGCCGGTACATGGCGGGTGATTATTAGCGCCATCTGGTATAGTAGAAATAGGAGCGTCAAGATCTTTCTAGAACTCTCCCACTAGCGCCATCTAGTATCGAATAGAAGAACTAAGCTTTCTAGAAAACTCCACACTCGAATTTTCTACACCTAGTCGGTCGGGACCGATATTTGCTGGAACATTCTAAATGTTTCGGTGGAAAAGACTTATAAAAAGCCGTTTAGGGCCGCGACCAGTTGCAGGGCAGTATTGAATTGGCGACACAAGCGAAGACTTCGGAGCGAAATAAAATGAACTAAAGTGTTAAGTGTGATTAATTACTGGTGTGTTTTAAGTTTTAATTGGTGTTCAGTAATTAAAGTGTCAATTTTGGTAATTCAATCGGCAGTTTTTATTGTCACGAACCCTAAGCTCGTAACATACCGTATAACATAACGTATTTTATTGTATTTTATAGTAGGTATCATCCTTTCAGAAAGAATGGGCCAATGTGTGAAAGAGTATGAATGTGTAAGCCCAAGACTGCTATGGATACGAATGAAAGTGGGCTTAAAGAAGTTGTTCGTGTTAGGGGTCTACGCCCCAGACATGTCTAAGCCCACTTATATCCGAGAGCAGTTTTGGGAAATGGTAAGTATGGTGTTAATGAAGTGTAAGGGAAATTAAAATATTATTATGCTAGGAGATTTTAATGGAAGGGTTGGGGTGAGAAGGCTTGGTTATGAAGGGATATTGGGAACGTTTGGTGACGAAAGTACAAATGAGAATGGTGAAAGTCTCCTCACCGTATGTATGGAAAAGAATCTTTTTGTGACGAACACTTGCTTTCGCCACAAGAGGATTCATATGTATACTTGGGAAAGAGGTGACGATAGAAGCATGATAGATTTCATAATTGTGGATGAAAGATTGAGGGGCGCAGTGGTGGATACAAGGGTTTACCGGGGTTCTAGCGTAGGAACGGATCATTATTTGGTTTTATGCCGAATTAATGGTCTATTCAGGCGTTGGCGTCATCGGTCATCTGTGTCTACCACTGCGTTACAGCGTATTAGAACAGAAAGGTTGCAAGATGAAGGTGAGAGAAACAAGTTCAAATGTAGACTGAAAGAAAATATAAGTGGTTTGGATGAATTATGTACGAAGGAGTTAGACTTGGAGAATGTATGGCAAAATGTAAAGAAAGGTTTAGTGCATGCAGCTACCGAAGTATGTGGTGTTAGTAAGAGAAAGAATGAAAGGAAAAATAATACGTTATGGAGGGATGATGAGATACGTATGGAAGTTGAAGTAAAGAAGAGAGCATGGCTAGATTTACTAGCAACAAAGGCTGGTAATTCTAGCGGTGCGAATGATGATATTGAAAGAAAAAAGGCGGTCTTTAGACATCTTAATAAGAGAGTAAAAGAAGTAGTTGAAAGAAAAAAGCAAGAAAGAACGGATAAAAATGATAGAAGAATATCGGATAACTTCCAGGCAAATATTAAAATGTTCTGGAAACTGGTAAGAACTGCCAGGGGACATTCAAAACAGTCTATGATGAATGCTATAAGAGACGAGAATGGCTATATTCTGAATGATGAAGTTTTGAGTTTAAAGAGATGGAAGGAATATTTTGAAAGCGTGTTTATGAGTGAGGTGACAACATGTGTACAAAGTGAAGTAGAAACTCCGAAAGAAGAGGAAAGAGGTAGCGAGATAAGTATAGATGAAATAATGAAAGCAATGAAAAGCATGAAAGCGGGTAAGGCGCCCGGATATGATAGTTTCACTCGAAATGCTAAGGGCTGGAGAGGAGGTGGTGGCAGGCCTGCTGCACAACTTGTTTAATTTATGCTGGGAACTGAAGCGGGTACCGGTAGACTGGTGCAAAGCCGTGATAGTCCCAGTATATAAAGGAAAAGGGTCGCAGCAGGACTGTAAAAACTACCGTGGCATCAGCCTTCTTAGCATTGTGGGAAAATTGTACGCTAAGGTACTGATTGAAAGGGTCATGAAAGAAACTGATGGAATAATTTGGGATGTGCAAGCGGGATTTAGAAAGGGAATGGGATTTACAGATCAAGACTTTTCCATGCGCATGATCGCGGAAAAGTTTCTGGCCAAAAACCAAAAGGTTTTTTGTGCGTTCATGGACTTGGAAAAGGCCTATGAGCGCTGGCTTGATACAGGCATTGGAGTCTCTTTATAGGGACTCTAGTGCTTGTGTTAGGATCAACGGGGTCTACTCGGACTGGTTTGACATCCATAAAGGTGTCAGACAGGGCTATGTGGCTTTCCCGTGGCTGTTCAACCTATTTATGGACAGTTGTTTGCAAAATTTCAAAGTTGAAGAATGCGGATTAAGAATGGGTGAGTTAACCGTCAAATGCCTTTTGTACGCCGATGATCAAGTCATTCTTGCGTCGTCGGCGGCCGAGTTGCAAATGATGGTTACATTAATGAACGGATCATTACAAGAAAGGGGTATGAAAGTGAACGCAAGTAAGACGAAGGTTATGGTTTTTGAAAGAGAAGAAAGTAAAACGATTTGTGAAATAAGAATAGAAGGGGAGTTGATCGAGCAAGTAGATGAGTTTGTATATTTGGGCTGCGTATTTAGCAGGGATGGGAGATATGATAAGGATATAAAACGACGAGTGAATGCGGGAAATAGAGTAAATGGGGCCTTGCACTCTATTGTGAAGAGTCAAAATGTGTCGAAAAAGGCACGTATGGCAATTCACAATGCTGTGTTGGTCCCTACTTTAACGTATGGTAGTGAAAGTTGGGTGTGGCAGAAGAAGCACGAGAGTAGAATAAACGCAGTAGAAATGCGGTCGTTAAGGAGTATGTTAGGGCTGAATCTGAATGACAAGGTAAGAAATTGTGTAATAAGAGAAGAGTGTGGTTTGCAAGATGATGTTGTGACCAGGATTAAGAAAGGAATGCTTCGGTGGTTTGGTCATGTGGAAAGAATGAATGAGGAAAGAGTGACAAAGAAAATTTATGTTGCAGAAGTGAATGGCAGAGTCGGAAAGGGACGTCCTAGGCGAAAATTTATCGACCAAATTGGCGATTTATTGGAAACGGGCATGTATGCGTAGGTGTATGGATGTGAAGGAGGCGAGAGAGGTGTGTCAGGATCGTGCCAAATGGAAATCTGTAGTCTCTGCCTACCCCTCTGGGTGACAGACGTGAGTGTTTATGGATATGGAGTATTTTATAAATAGCATTATGATTTAATGCCCAATCAAAGCACATTTTTCTAAAATTACGTAGTTAAGCCTGAAAAAGTTTCTACCCTGGTTTGTCTCCTTGACGTTTTTGTTTAAACATGCAGACATTACATATCTTCTTTGTACAAAGTGGCCAGTTAAAGTATATTTAACACAAATTTAAATAAGTACACTTAAGTATGATAAAGGTAAAACGCAAAAACATTTGTTTATTTCCAATAATTTTCAAAATTTATTTATCTTCCGCTTTTTTTGTCTATCTAGCCTGGCGAATTTTGGATCACCTAAAGCAAATAGAAATATTCGACGGCCATATTCAAAATGGCACTCAAGGACACAACAACGAGAAGTTGGTAACACTGAACAAATGAGGAGTTAAATCGCTGTCGTTGCTTAGTTGTCGCGACGCAGCAGTGCGGTGCAGTTGTTTTGCAAGGTTGATGTGTCCCTCCACTGGTAGGTAAATCATCAATATTTATATAATTCTCTTAATTCTTTTTTGCATTTATTGCTTCAATGCAACAATAGTGGAATAGTTGAGTGACATATTTTTAATCAAAAATTAACATATGTCAGTAAAAAAATGTAAGTTAGTGAAGAAAACTTATCTCACCTGCTGCATTTCCCCTGGCAAGATAAATACCAAGGTAGATACTCACCGACCAGAGGAGATAAAGGGGTCATTAGATGTTTGTATAAACTAATACAGATATAGCTAACATTCTCAACTTCTAATAAAAAGAAAAGAAACATCGTTAATGTACATTTGCATATTATGGAGTATATAGAGATACAGTTTGCATCAAGTGAATTCGTTTGAGTTCATTCTGACCTTTCAATTCCCTTTTTTAATTAGGGATATTTCCTAATGTGTGTACGCGGCTTATTTCACTGTTTTTAATCCTATTTTAATGATTTAATGTTCTTACATCGTTGTTTATAATATTGTTACAGATCATAGAACATAATCAAAGATTCTCTGTTTGTTAGTGGTAATGCACAAATAAAAACTTTTCCTAGTACTTTGCATATCCATCAGGTGTCCATTAAGGATCCAAGAAAGTTGAAAATGAAGTTTTTACGCTGTTTTTACAAAGAATATACAAAATGTGATGACATAAAAATTATGATACACTCATCTCAGCAAAAATCATGTCTCCAAGTTGAGGATTTTTATGGATCATATTCAGAGTCCAAGGATGAGGAAGAGAATCCACCTGACAGTGCACAATCTTTACACTAATACATGACAGGCATCAGACAGAGAATAATCAAGAACCCTTGACATGCAAGAAAACATTCGTTTTGGTGAATCTACTATCAAAAAAGACAGAGTACTGTTACATGGCTATGTGTATGGGTTTGAAAAATGATGACGAGTTTGAAAGTTTTCTGAAAATAGGAGACAAATCTGGAAAACTATTTAAAGTTAATGAACAGGATATTTCACTTGTCGCATATGACCAGATAGTTCAGACACTCCTTATCTTATTTTGAAAGGGCATAGAGTATTCTACTCCTTAAAAATGTGTATGAGAAAGCTTAAGCATATTTTTTTATCATTCATGTAAGCATGGTTGGGTTGTCTAGTTTTTGTATTGATAATAATTATATTATTATTGAAGGAGTGATATCATTAATTATGTATTTTATTCATATTTTTGTCAGACACTAAAAAACCTTTAGTTTTAGATTTAAGAAAAGACTGTGATACATAAACGACATTCTGATATTAAATACAATGTTTAATAAATGTCGATTATCACAATTCTGATTATCTTTTAAAAGGTCCGATTCTTCTTATTACTTATATTTTTTGTCAGAGACTAAAGAAGCTCTAGTTTAAGATTTGAAGAAAGGTTGTAATACAAAAATGAAACTTTAATTATAAGTTAAGTACAATGATTAATAAAAGTTAATTTTAATAATCGTTTTACTATGTCCAAGTCTCTCCCTTGGTTAGAAAAGTATCTACCCTGTCCAATGTATTTACCCCGGATTTTTAAAAGTAACTAAATATGTATATGACTTGCCCTTATGTGAATATGTGCATATAAGGGACTAAAGTTGTAAGATATGTGGTTATTCAAAAAACTCCAACTTTTCTCCTTGGCCGCATCCTCTATGCACTCAAAACCTCTTATCATGGAATGCACCAGATAACAAAAATTAATCTCTCTATGTTGTAGGCTTTAAAACTCAATAAGGAAAGACTGAAAAATGTTATGTCCATATAACTCTACATTACAACTTTTTAGAATAAAAAAAAATTATACATAATTGAATATGTTTTAAAATATTTTGTACCGTTGACAATTTAATGGTGTAAGGTGTCTTCAATACAAGTAAAATACTCTTAAAATTGTCGGGGCCTACATATAGCAGTGGATAGTCTGGTTACTAAGTAATGATGTTGCAAGTGTATTATATGCAAAATTAAACAAAGTATGTTTAAAACCACTGCCATCCTTTGCTTAGATACACCATAATATAATTATCAGTATATTTTTTGGCCTGTTTCATGATGTTGGGACAATACTGACTCCCACTAGCAAAATTAAAACAGTGTAATAACTTACTTTTTGCCAGTCTTCCCACCAACTTTAAGTATCCATGGCTGGTCTTCTGGCTTGTATTTCCTTGATATAATACCAAACTTTTTGCGCCGCGCCTCTTCACGCATATCTCGCCCATACTCTGAGCCTGCACCGAATCTAAAATTTATAAAAGTTGATTTTAAAAATTTACCTACTTAAAATAACTACTTTAAAAATTTTAAATATATGTACTATGTAAAGTTCAGGTATACCTCAAATCTCTAAACGAAATTGTACCACCAGTGTGTATTGCTAGTGATGACTTATGGATCTAAGATGTGGTCCTTCATTGCTGGTCGTATGAGGACGCTCAAAGTCGCTCAGCAAGCTACGAAGAGGGCTACGTTTGGGGTTTCTCTTTCTTTTCTATCTTTGGGGGTAGAACCAGAGGGACCGACATAGCCCAAACAGATTAGTGAGCTGAAGTGACAATGGGCCAGCCATATAGCTCCAAGAACCGACAACAAATGGGGAAAAGAAGTTCTGGAAGATTTGTGGATGGAAGAAAGACTACTAGAAGATTATGCTTAGCACTTGCAGTAAATTAGTATGTGAGCAACCCTAGTATGCAAACAACTCAAATTTTAAATATTGATTGTGAAGTGCTTGCTCTAAAAGGAAAACATAGTGAGGAAACCTGCCTGTATGAACATTCAAACAATCGAAACCAAAGCGAACTCACATCAGCCAACATGCACTGGGGGGCGAAGTTTTAAAACAAAATGCACACAACACATATTTGTGGTACACTATTTTTGTGAGGCAATTTTAAATAATTTTAGAGTAAAAAAACACTAATTGCAATTCATAAAGCTCACTTTGGCATTTCTTCTTCTATCCCTTTGAACTCCTTTATATTGTTCTCCCTTTCCATTTTCACATGAGTCCATTTTGCAAAGTCCACATTTAAAGTAGCATTAAATCGCATCACATGATATTTCTTCTTAATATTTTTTGGAACTCGTATTTTAAACTCTTGTACAGCTGGTGATGGTTGCTACAAATATAGAATTAATATTAACCATTTCACTGTCTCATGAGTCATATATGAACATTTGTTGAACTATTATGTCTTTTTCGCAGACAGTTTTTCTCCTGTATAGTGTTATTAAATACTGCCTGCTAAGCATGACGATTAAGACAAATCCTTCCTTAAATAGGAGAGAACAGGTCCATATACAGCAGGACTTTTAAAGGCTGATGAAGGAAAAAATGATGTTTCTCTATGAGACATCACTAGATACACATCACACTACTCACTGTCACGATTACTGTTGCTAAATATCAGTGTGTCTTCGTTTAAAAGAGGTAACGAGTGCAATTAACAAGAACTTTAACCTTTAGTAAAATTTAAAATAAGCAACTATACCAAAATTATTACAGCACCACACATCTTTGGATTTTAACTAAATTAAGTTTCAAAATAATAGTACTTAAAATTAAGCATTTTATATAAATTCTAGATATAAATTTACTCACCGATCCTCCTGGAGTCGTCATCGTTTGAAGTTGTATTTTGAAGACACAATTTTTTTTAAAACGTCTCTCCTCTATCTGATTTTACCTATGAGTAGATATATTTTTATAGTCATACTGGACCTGAATGATATATTTATAATTAAAATTGAAATAAATACAATATAGAAAGTGAAACAAATCAAATTTTTAATTTGGCAAAATGCGTTCAGTTTCAAGTTAAATTGAACAATTTACACCAGACCCTGACGTTGTTTCAGCAGGAAGATGAGAAGAATTAAGTTTTAAAGTTAAAATAATAACCTATACAACTCTATTATTCTTTGAAAATAATCGAGTATAAGTATATACAGTATATTAATATAATTTTGTTATTTAACTGTTAGAATAAAATAATATTCGCTAATTTTTACGTAGAACGAAATATTAATGTCAAGATGACATGACAAAATAAAAACTTTTAATTATTAAGATTTTTGGCTTGGATGTGTGTCTTTTCACTATGTCTTCATTTCATACGTTATATTCGTTTTCTTCACAATATGCTGATGCGTCACATTGCGATGCGAAGTTTTTGGGGAGATTTTGACGACAGCTCACCCCACGGCACAATCGATGACGACAGTCACTCAGGTTAATAAGGCGCCTAAGCGATCATAATGACTAGGTTTATATCAACATCGAAGCACTTGTTTCATCGTTTTCCCTGATAGTTCACATGCACAGACACTTAATACACAAATTGGCATCACTTTTACGTATCAAAATCCATTCAAACCATTATTTAAACGATAAAACCAAAGCAACAATCCGTCGCCGTTCAAGTTTCCGTCAAAACTCCAAAAAAATTTTCGTCTGAAACCTAGCATTTGTTATTAGTTTATGGCCTAAAACCCTTATGCGATCCATTTATCAATTATAAATAAAACTGACTTGACTGTTAATTTATAGTATAAAATTTCCTCAAAAAATTATAATGTATGTAACATTATAATTTTTTTAAACAAAACTATGATTGATTAAATTCTATTGATATTAATCGTTTTCATCATACATTAAAGAGTGTAAGCCTAAACTTGATCGCCTGCTCCTGTTTTATCGTTTAATGGTTTACAGTAGACTTTGATATTATTATGAATTATGATGGTTTGAAGTAAATTTTGATACGTAAAAGTGGTGTGATTTGGTGTATTAATTGTCTGCACATGTAAACTGTTGGTTACGAAACAGGTGTTTTGTTGGTATGGTAATTTGAACCTCAAGATTATGTCTGCTTAGGGGACATGAAATACTGTTGTCAACGTTTGTTTCTTGGCTTAAGCTGCCGTCAAAAACTCCCGAAAACTTCGTTATATGACGGCATCAACAAATTATTAGGGATAATTTCTTATTACTTGACACTGGCACAAGTACAATAATACGAGTCCATTAACCAACATAGACTTATAATCTCAATCCTCTATCTACGATTACGTTAACCAAAGCAAAAAAGTGTAGAGGGAGTACCTATGTACAATTCTCTTTCTACGTAAATAAGAGTATTATTTTTATAAGAGTATTATGATATTGGTAGGTTATTAGTAATATTATTTAAGTATATTTAAACTAGGTATACTTTTTTAAAGGTTAAACGTCAAACGAAAATACAACAAGTGCTCTTTGATTAGTGTACAGCAACGTAGACAGACCTATAGAGTAATGATTAGCGTGGCCTCGAGTGAGAAAGGACGATAACGTAGTTTTAGGTTATACAATAAACTTTATGACTTTTAAACATATATAGATAAAAAATTTAATTGTTCTAAGAACTGAACTGAACAAGATTCACCAATCTTAAGCTCACAAAACACTTTTTTTCTCACTTAAACCAACTTGTAAACTTCTTAGATCGCTACGAACTGTCAAAGTTGTTTAGCAAAGTGTAGTTTGCTAAACAAAAAAAACCGGCACGGAAAAAGGGACAAACAATCATACCGCTCAGTCTCATTTCTATGCAAGACTATCTATCTTTTTCGTGTGCGAATTCGAAAGAAGGCGTCAATTTCTCTATAGGTTTCTCTGTCTACGGTACAGTAATCACTGCACAGAGTACTTTTTGTATACCTGAATCTTAGAAGCTATACGTCTATAATAGCTATTTCTTAAGCCCCATTTACATTCAGCCCCTGCCACTACTCCTCGCGCTGCCGGCCATACTTCGTTAAATACTGCCGTAGCAGGATCGAGAGAAGTGTGAACTACGGCAGACGTCGAAATAATTACAGCGTCCGCGTTGTGTCTTCTTGGAATACAAAATTATGTTAATAATTCAAAAAGATATCAAATTCAAAAGAAGATAGATAGAAAATTTATTTGCTTAAAAACATGATACATAAGATGATCATTGACGTGGAACTGACATGTTTTGCCATAATTGGCATGCGAAAGTGATATGAAATACAGCTAATTACACAAACGCAATGTTACATTTTAAAATTATTTCATTGCTTTAAAGTTAAGTACAAAAATTATTTTGAATTCAAATATTATATACAATTAAATAATTATACTGATCTACTCTATTTGAATTCTTATACAATAAATTGTTCATAAATTATTAATTGAATTATTACATTATTGTTATATAAATAATATTAAATATTATATGAGATTAGTTAAGCTATTATTATTTTAATAATTACACCACAGTATAAATTAATGCATAATTTTAATTACAATAAAATTATAATTCACAAATGTAAGGCTACCATTTAACTTAATACATTATTTTACATTTTAATAAATAAATAATCAATATGAGTTACTAATTGTTTTTAGAAATGAAATGTCAATGTTCATTAATTCCTTAAACTAAATTTTATATTAAGACGAATTTATAATTAATTATGTACATCGGTAATTATGTTATCCCGAAAAGAAAATTCGTCTTCGTAGAAGATGATGAATTATGGTTTTTATCTTCGAAATCCCATATAGCTTTTTCTGATTGCAGCAGTTCTAAAAACTTGATTGTATTTTCGTAACTCCACTCGAAAGGCATTTTCGCAGATCGTACTTATTTAAAAACAAGACGGCACGCACGTCCGTTCGTCCAGGCGCTTGGCGCAAAGTGAGCGATGGAGCAGAATGTGAACACCACAGAACACTATTACTCCTAAATGAAACTATTATTTACGGATTTTATCGCGTTTAATTACTTTAATTTATTTTTATTATTATCCCGACATTTCGGGTGCTTTACAGCGCCCATGGTCACGGGGGGGGACTGAGATGTTTGACGTCCCAATGTCATAGTTAGTCCGGCTACCTTCAGTTTTTTAATATTAATTTTTGGTCCGATTTACGCAAAACGAGCTTATAGTATCATGAAGTCTTGCAGTGGTATGCTTGGGTTTGGGTTTAATTTTGTTAATTATAGGATCCCAAGCAGATGGTAGCACCCAACCATCTTCTCTATTGAAATTTGGATGTTTTTTAATTTCAATAGCTTCGCGTATCATCCTTGGTAGGAATCGGTGTTCTTTTGCGAGAATTTGTGGTTTATCAAATCTAATGTAATGGTGGGGACGATCTTGAACATGTTCGCAGACTGCAGACTTCCCGGAGCGTCGGTGCTTCACATCAGCTATATGTTCCTTCACGCGGGTTTTTATAGATCTCTTTGTTTGACCTATGTAAGAGAGACCACATTCACAATCTAGCTTATACACACCTGCATCTTGTAGAGGAATATTACATTTGATGGATGGTAAAAATTGACTAATCTTCTTCAGCGGCTTGTAGTATGTCTTAATGGACGCTCGCTTCAAGATGTAGCCAATCTTGTCCGTGACTCCTCTAACATATGGTAGTAGAGCAGGCGCGCGCTCGACTGTGGCCGGCTTCACTCGTTCACTGTGACGTAGGCGCGGGACCCGAAGCTTGTTGTCTTGCAATACTTGCTTGACGTGCTGAAGCTCCGCGGCCAGATGTTTTCTGTCACAGATCCCTCGTGCTCTCTGAAACAAAGATTTACCCACGGTAGCTAACTGTGAAGGATGATGGTGAGATTCACCATTTAAATATCGGTTGGTATGGGTCTTTTTCCTATACACAGTGTGACCAATACTGTTATCAGGATTTCGGATGACTAAAACATCTAGGAAAGCTAACGAATTATTTGCCTCTAACTCCATTGTGAATTGTATTTTAGAGTTTATGGAGTTAAGGTGGTCTAAAAATGCAGTTACTTTGTTAGTTTGTTCCCAAAGACGAATTTACAGCGCTAAATAACTTACGGAACAGACCAGAACTCACGATTCTCCGCGCGGATAAAGGAAATGCTACGGTAGTAATGGACGCGTCGGAATATAATTTTAAAATACAACAACTTTTATCGGACGAAAGTACATATAAAAAGGTCAAAACAGACCCTACAACTAACACGCTTAAAACAACTAGCGATTTAATAAAGAAATACTCCGAAAAATTAAATCTCGACGTGAATTCGCTAATACCATCATGTGCCAAACCACCGAGGTTGTATGGGTTACCGAAGATACACAAACCAAACGCTCCACTATGTCCCATAGTGAGCCAGATCGATTCACCAACTTATAAGCTGGCACAATACTTAGCAAAAATACTATCACCACTAAGAGGACATACCAGAGCACACACAAAGGATTCATACCATTTTGTGAGTGAGATAAAAAGACCTACATCTCGCTAACAATGAAACTATGGTCAGTTTTGATGTTCAGTCACTATTTACATGCCTACCTATTGTGGACTGCATCTCAATTGTAACTAGGAAGCTAGAAGAAAATAACATGCCTCAAGAATATGCAATACTATTTGAACATTGCCCCACATCTGGCTATCTATTGTGGAAGGAGGAGTTCTACAAGCAAGTAGATGGTGTGGCGATGGGCTCACCTGTGTCTCCCATAGTCGCCGACATATTCATGGAGGACTTTGAGGAGAAAGCCCTTCTTACTGCTCCTGTAAATCCAAGGTTCTACAAGCGGTACGTAGACGACACTTTCACAATTTTACCATCTGACAAAGTAACTGCATTTTTAGACCACCTTAACTCCATAAACTCTAAAATACAATTCACAATGGAGTTAGAGGCAAATAATTCGTTAGCTTTCCTAGATGTTTTAGTCATCCGAAATCCTGATAACAGTATTGGTCACACTGTGTATAGGAAAAAGACCCATACCAACCGATATTTAAATGGTGAATCTCACCATCATCCTTCACAGTTAGCTACCGTGGGTAAATCTTTGTTTCAGAGAGCACGAGGGATCTGTGACAGAAAACATCTGGCCGCGGAGCTTCAGCACGTCAAGCAAGTATTGCAAGACAACAAGCTTCGGGTCCCGCGCCTACGTCACAGTGAACGAGTGAAGCCGGCCACAGTCGAGCGCGCGCCTGCTCTACTACCATATGTTAGAGGAGTCACGGACAAGATTGGCTACATCTTGAAACGAGCGTCCATTAAGACATACTACAAGCCGCTGAAGAAGATTAGTCAATTTTTACCATCCATCAAATGTAATATTCCTCTACAAGATGCAGGTGTGTATAAGCTAGATTGTGAATGTGGTCTCTCTTACATAGGTCAAACAAAGAGATCTATAAAAACCCGCGTGAAGGAACATATAGCTGATGTGAAGCACCGACGCTCCGGGAAGTCTGCAGTCTGCGAACATGTTCAAGATCGTCCCCACCATTACATTAGATTTGATAAACCACAAATTCTCGCAAAAGAACACCGATTCCTACCAAGGATGATACGCGAAGCTATTGAAATTAAAAAACATCCAAATTTCAATAGAGAAGATGGTTGGGTGCTACCATCTGCTTGGGATCCTATAATTAACAAAATTAAACCCAAACCCAAGCATACCACTGCAAGACTTCATGATACTATAAGCTCGTTTTGCGTAAATCGGACCAAAAATTAATATTAAAAAAACTGAAGGTAGCCGGACTAACTATGACATTGGGACGTCAAACATCTCAGTCCCCCCCGTGACCATGGGCGCTGTAAAGCACCCGAAACGTCGGGATAATAATAAAAATAAATTAAAGTAATTAAACGCGATAAAATCCGTAAATAATAGTTTCATTTATGTGTAGTGTTCGCGTAAATTTAAGAAATCATTACTATTACTCCTTTCGGAGTGTGTGTGTGTGTAGTGTCAAATGATGACGTCATTTGACACTTTATTGTACTAGCGTGCCGCCGCCATACTGTGTCGGATATCCGGCCATAATAAAACAATTTTTAATGGTGTTTTTGCCGAATAAAGCATGCAAGAATTTGTTTCTATTTATTCAAATACAAAAAATTATAGAATAATTGATGGTATATCCATTAGGAGGATATAATGATTTTTGGAGCACAAAATGACAAAATAATCGCCAACACTTTTCCAAATGGCGCAAAAGTATGACGTCATATACTGTCCAATGTTTTGGAACGAATCACCAGTATAGCGTCGATTCATGACGTCATTTGCATTGGACAGTACACTCATACACTGCGTTGTATTTCGGAACATACCCTAGGTGTATGTAAATGTAAATATACTGTGCATATCCTCGTTCTGTGGTTATCTGTGACATGTGGCATGTGCACAATTTAAAAACAATAGGTTTATGTACATAAATTGAATCTGTATTTATTAAAATAAATTTATTTTAGTTTCCTAGTTATTTTAAAAACAGTAAGATATGGGCAAAAAGAAGAATAAAAACAAAGTGAGCGGTGCTGTGAAAACTGCCGCTAAAACTGAGAAGAAATTAGCAAATAAACTGAAGAAGGAACTTGCGAACTTGGGGGAGGTTAGTAATTTTGAATTAGTTTTAATCAACTTTATACTTCTAAAAATAAAACGCTTTATTTAGACTATTTTCTGAAATAAATAACAATTAAAAATATATAATAACTGTATTCATTGTTAAAGAAAAAGCTAGTATCTGTTTTCCGTTTGGGTAGTTTTTTCTTTAACAAAACTTTTTAAAACTATAAAATTATTTCCTCTCGGATAGATATCTCTATCTCGTATCTCTATCTATTATCTTGAATCTACCCTATGTTCTAAGTAGTGAAAAGGTTTTATGTAAACCTTGGAGTAAAAATATACTGTTTTCAAATATTTATTTTCTTTTTCAGGAAGATATAGCCAAAGTTGTTGCAGAGATAGAACGTGAGGAAGCAAAACGTGCTGCAGCTACTGAAAAATCTTTACCAGGACCACCCTCAGCCAGAGCATATGCTTCACTCACTCCACATCCTATTAATAATGAACTTATTTTATTTGGTGGTGAATATCATAATGGGCAAAAGGTAAGCTTATGGTGGTTGGACTCCTTCCTACCTAGGTGTCTGTGTGGGTAGATCTTACTCTCTTACCTATTTATGACTAAACAGCTGCATATGCACTCCTGTGTTCTGGCCTGAAAGGTATAGAGAGCCAGTTATTACAGTCTGTGAGGCATTCCATCTAAGTTTTCAAAGGTGACAATGGCTTTGTTCGAAGTTAGTAGTAGGTGACCACTGGAACAGGGTTGTATAATTTTTCAGCCGACTTCAAAAACAGGAGGAAATTTATTATTATAGAATAAGGGTGACAAATGCGCACATACCCACCTGATGCTAAGTAGATACTGTGGCCCATAGACATCTACATTTATCCTCGATTAAGAATCAAAACACATTGCATGCAATCATCAAAATGGGTTGTCACCCCTATGGAGTAAGGTGAAATGCTTCATTTCCAGTAAAAAGGGTCTCCGGTTCTCTACACTCACCATACAAAACAGCAGTATTAAGCTGCTATTTTACGCTGGTATCCTGTGAGAGTGTGGTCCTTCCCTGGTCGAGCTGACCCATTCGTGCTGCAGCCATAATATTGCTGCAGTGTGGCTCTACCACTAGATAAATTTAAATACCACACATATTTAAATTTATCTTGTATTTAATTTTATATATCATATTTTAATTTATCTCCTACCACATATTTTTGTGTATGTTCAGAGATACTTCTTTATTACACTGTCCAATTTTAACAGTGCTATTTTTGTTAAATAAGTAAGAAGTGATCTTATAGTCTTTGCGTTGTAGCATGGTGCGAATGACACCTCACTACTGTCATACAGACGTTGATGTACTTTATGGATGGGTACCGTCCACTTACCATAGTGATGTGCCACACTAAACTGTGCCTTGCCGTAACGAATTACCACAGACTATCAAAAATCGGTTTTGAAATAAATCGAATATGTAGAAATCACATAAATATGTATTAGAATTAGAACTTATCATTCAACAAATTCTGATTTACGGAAAAAAAAACGCACATGTTCATCGCAGTGTTTCTGATGCATGGACTATAAAAATTATTCGTTGGTCAGCTTGTTGTGTCAAAAAGACTTTAACATAACTCATGGCGGTCGAAGTGGCTACAAAAAACCTTTTTTTATTTTTTTCATTGGATTAATAAACCAAATTTTCGATTATTTTTACCTTCCATCTTGATATTTGGCTCATTGGACCTGACTGATATTAGTGTAATATACATAATATAGCGAAAGGTGCTAGCACTCGTACCTTGAAAAGCTGCCGGTACAGTTAACGCTGCACTGGAAATTACAGATGTTGGCAGCTATTTTATTTGTTTAAATGTCAATGTCAACTGCAGTCAACATGAAATAGAAGATTTTTATTTTCAAATTGGTACACATAGTATCATCTATACATTAAAGTGTTTATTTGTAATATCAAAATAACAGCCAAAAAAGACATGTATGGCAATTCACAATGCTGTATTAGTCCCTACTTTAACGTATATTTGTGAAAGTTGGGTGTGGCAGAAGAAGTATGAGAGTAGAATAAATGCAGTAGAAATGCGGTTGCTAAGGAGTATGTTAGGGCTGAATCTGAGTGATGGTGAGAAACTGTGTGATACAAGATGAGTGTGGTTTGCAAGATGATGTGGTGACCAGGATTAAGAAAGGAATGCTTTGGTGGTTTGGTCATGTAGAGAGAATGAATGATGATGGATGATGGTGACCAGGATTAAGAAAGGAATGCTTTGGTGGTTTGGTCATGTAGAGAGAATGAATGAGGAAAGACTGACAAAGCAAATATATGTTGCAGAAGGGAATGGAAGGCGAAAGTTTGTCGACCAAATTGGCGATATATTAAAAAAGGCCAAATTACCCTTAACCGACGAGCATGTATGCATAGGTATATGGATGTGGAAGAGGAGAGAGAAGTGTGTCAGGATTGTGCTAAACGGAAGTCTGTAGTCTCTGCCTACCCCTCTGGGTGACAGGCGTGAGTGTTTATGTATGTATAAAATAACAGCCTTTTACGAAATTCATATGAAAGTGTATACGGTATTTATAACAAAAAGACGAAAACAATTTTTAAAATTTTTGTCTGTCTGTCTGCTTATTGCAGCTTTTAGCTGGCACTGGCAGACAGCTGATGTTATAAGGAGTAACACAGGCTACTTTTATTATAGAAAAGGAATTAGGATTCCGCGCAAAAAAATTAAAAGCCATGAAATCCAATTGTAATAAATACTACGCGCGAGAAGTCGCGGGAACAGCTATTATGTAACTATTATGTCATAATTTGTGTTAAACTTTAACTTAATTTTACATGCATTGTTATAAAGAAATATATGTTTCAGTTATAATTTTTATATCGATAGCTAATCAATAATTTTTGATTTGTTTTGTGTATCATTATTCGCCTTTTTTAAATCAATTTAACATTGTTCCATCTTTAGATACGCCAAACTGTAAGCTGTCACTCGCACCATATAACGCAAAGACTATAAGATCACTTCTTACTTTTTTAAACCCTCTCATTTCTGTGAGAAAATAATAAAAAGATCACTTTATGTGCATAAGAGCAATGCTTAGTATATTGGTTATTTTTTATTGCTTTTATAAAAATGTCTCTCTCATTAGTCATTTTGAAATATTTTAATAACTACTTGTATTTTAACATCACATAATATGGTGATGTACTTAGCTCTAGATAACAGTTCACATAATATTCCAGACTGAGGTTTACAATGAGCTGATCTTTTATAACCCTGTAAACAATACATGGAGGCAAGTGAAAGCGCCAGGGGCACCTCCCCCTAGGAGTGCTCATCAAGCTGTTGCAACACCTGCAAACAAGTAAGCAAGTTTTACTCTGTTAAAAATTGACTATTATCTGTAGTATTTATAATATGTGTACTACAGAGGTACTCACTTTTCTCCTAACCTACCAATGTCTGATGTTTTTTTTATTGAAGTAAGTGTGACAAAGGGCATACAAACCACTAGCATGGCTAATGATTTCTTATATTTACGCGAATACTACACATTGAAATAATACTAGTTTTTACGGAATTTATCACCCCCGTCACTACATCAGATTTGATAGACCGCAAATCCTCGCTAAAGAACACCGATTCCTTCCAAGGATGATTCGCGAGGCTATTGAAATCAAAAAACATCCTAATTTCAATAGAGAAGATGGCTGGGTGCTACCATCTGCTTGGGATCCTATAATAAATAAAATTAAATCCCAACCCAAGCATATAACTGCAAGACTTCAAGATACCATAAGTTCATACTGCATAGATCGGAACAAAAGTTAAATTTTAATCTATGGTATGCTTCAGTCCTGCCCGTGACCATGAGTGCTGTAAAGCGTTCGAAACGTCGGGTATTTAAAAAGTTAAATATACGCGATAAATTCCGTAAAAACTAGTATTATACCACTAGCAGGGCTATTTAGTAACTTTGTTGACATCAAAATAATAGTCACTTTGTAGAACATTGGATCATATGTTTTACAGCCATGGTTGCTCTTATAGAAAGGCTATATAGAATTCAACATACATAATCGTTTTAAAAATAAAGTATATCATTAGTCCCTGCATCATGGAGGTATAGTTGATATAATTTACACCAAAATTCCTATCTGGGGAAATGAGGAAGAAACTGCAGCTTACGTGTTGCTGACATGTCTGGAGGTTGATGCATACAGGGCTAAACATCTCAGCACACCAGTATCACTCCGCAAGGTTACTTACAACATCAAAGAACTGTTGAACTTTTTCAAGGAGATTTCGTGATTCAAATAATTATAGATACTCCTACTCCCTACGCTTAAGCTTTCTCATGAGCTTATGGAAGGCAGCTATAGTTCACCCAACCCCTAAAAATGCTGAGCCTTGGTGCCAGCGATTTAATACGCAAGGGCGGAGAGGCTGCACTTCCCGCAGTGCCAAAGCTGTTGCAGAAGCAAAAAAAAAACTTTAACAACAAAAATAATTACTCATAAACTATGTATGCATTTTCGCAAGGGGGGCTTCTTCTCCTGCACCCACTCGCTCCCACCCCCGTACGCAAGTACCGGGTGTCTATACTTTTACCAAATTTGATTTAATATGGGTGAAAGCTAGTAAAGTATAAAAATCTCATAAATATATTCGTGGGCTGGGCAGGCACAGACGAAAGAGGTCCGTGGTGGGGCGGGGGGTACATATTCATAGTTAGCCTAGGACTGTCGGAACTCTAAATCTGGCACTTGTTTGAATTCCGGGTTCGACCAATCTCAGTTATTGAGTTTTCTGTTAAGAAATTCTTAATAGCAGCCTGGAGTCAGGATGTTGTTGCTCTCTCACCCCCCATGCCTTGGAAAGTACGTAGCTTTTCGTCCAGCGCCTGATCTCTCCTTGTCGTATGGGATTGCCATCCTATCAGATGATGAGAGTCCGGGAATAGAGAGTGCAGTTATCCTGACCTGTCCTGTACAGATGGCTAGTGTCCATTGAGATTGACCGCCGTGACAAAACCATTTGTACCTAGATTTCAACTGATTACACTTATAGGCAAAAATTTTACATACTTAGTTGTTTTTTTAATGACCTGTTAAAACTGAGAACTCGTTTTTTTGTCGCATTTTAATAGGCGCAACGACGATATGCAGAATGAAAGAACTTTATTTTCACTCATTAAATGTGCATGTCCCGGTTTTAATTTTTTTTATTTTTATTTATTTTTTCTAAACAATAAACATTTTGTTGAATAATTCATATAAATTTTATTTAAAATGCATTAAACAATCCTTTTTAAAAATTATATAAAACTAAAATTAAAATTTCAAGTCAAATCTCTTCAATATAGATAAAATAAAGTATAAAATATAGCAACATAATAATAACAATGTATGTCACAAAGAATTACGATTATTTTTAAAAAGTTTAAACGAGCAATTCTTGTATATATATTTAAAATTTAGTATCCAGAAGGATTCGGGGGCAATAAATCGATCTAGCTAGGAATTATTTTTAGAAAATGTCGTTTTATCTGTGTTTTCAGGCAATGAAAAACTGCTACAATATCGTTAGAATAAGAAGGTAAATTTTGACAGCGCGTATATGATTATAATAGCTCGAATGGGATAACGGGTGATCCCAGAATCGTAGTAATCTGGTTCGAGTCCTGTCTTCGATCCGACTTTTTTCCTTTGTTTCAAGTTCCCTTCTTTTTTGAGAAAATCTATTCGAACCCTTTTTTGAGTATTTTTGTTAAAACATGAAAATTTAAATTAAACTAATTGCACTCATGATTTTTTATTCAAATACCTAACCAGATCAGTTTTTTCTATTATGTCGGTAAGATCAATAAATATTATTCATATTTTATCAGTATGTAATTTGTAGCTAAATATAACTTCCAAAACACACGATATCAAAAAAAAAAAATACCGAGCAAATCTCGGTCATCCAGATACTAATGTTAAAACATTGAAGGTTATATAATTGCATTAGCATTTAGATATAGAAACTTGTCTACACTATACATTTTTCCAGTAGAAACTTTATTAAATAAGTTGAAGCTACTCTTGTATAACATACTGATTAATAGTGAGCAGTCTTGTACAGCATCCTTGGAGAGCCGCGCCGTATGAACCGGTGGGTTGTCATGAAGAAGCAGCACTCCGTTGGTCAGCTTTCTTCTTCTCTTTTCTTTTATTTCTTCTCTCAAACGGCGTAAAGTGGCTAAGTATTTAGCTGCCTTGATGGTATAGCCTTGGAGAGCTGCGCCGTGTGAACCGGTGCGTTGCCATGAAGAAGCAGCACTACATTGGTCAGCTTTCTTCTTCTCTTTTCTTTTATAGCTTCTCTCATATGCCGTAAAGTGGCTGAGTATTTGTCTGCGTTGATGGTTTCACCTTTTTTAGAATCAATAGGAAAATCTTTTTGAATAGAAGTACTGATTGATGTTGAGAATAGCGTCTAGTCAAAACCATATGAGAAATTATTTTATTATAAAAATCTATTCTCCTAGTGTTTTCTCTTATGGTTTTTTGTCTATAGTCTCAATTCGCCAATAACTTGCAAATCTATATCAGTATATAGACATGAAACAGTCAAGATCCTAAATCTTTTGAAATGTTGCCAACATGATTCTTGTTGTTTTATCCGGCCTATGGTTCTATTGCTCTTTTTTGCAGAACAAAGGCTTTGTGTACATTATATTTAAAGGTTCCTCCCCAGAATAAAATATTGTATTGTTGTCTTGATTCTACTAATGCTTAATAAACCTATTATAAATGTTCAAGATCAGCTTCATACCCTAAGCTTATTAATATGTAACAATTCATTCATTCATTCATTACAGTCCTTCACAAGTCCACTGCTGAACATAGGCCTCCCCCAAGTAGTGCCACAAAGCACGGTCCTGAGCCACCTGCATCCATCGACTTCCTGCATGTCTTACCAGGTCGTCACTCCATCTAGTGGGGGGTCGCCCTACACTACGCCTACCGGTACGAGGCTGCCACTCGAGAATCTTTCTTCCACATCGGTTATTAGTTCTTCGAGCTATATGGCCGGCCCATTGCCACTTCAGCTTACTAATCCGTTGGGCTATGTCGGTCACTCTTGGTTTTACTGCGGATATGCCATTTCTAAGTCTATCACGCAGAGAAACTCCGAGCATAGCCCTCTCCATAGCTCGTTGAGCGACCTTGAGCGTCCTCATACGGCCAGCAGTGAAGGACCACGTCTCAGATCCGTAAGTCATCACTGGCAACACACACTGCTTGTAAAATCTAGTTTTCAGAGTTTGAGGTATACCTGACGAGAAGATGTGTCGTAATTTCCCGAACGCTGCCCAGCCGAGTTGAATCCGTCGATTGACCTCTCGGTCGAAGTTGGACTTACCTAGCCGGACTATTTGTCCCAGGTAAACGTACTCGTCAACAACTTCGAGCAAAATGCTCCCAACAACTACCGGCATAGGTGTGACATGGACATTAAACATGATCTTTGTTTTGTCCATGTTCATCTTAAGACCTATCCGTTGGGAGACACCATTGAGGTCATTGAGCATAGTGCTTAGGTCCTCCAGCGATTCTGTCATAAGGACTATATCGTCGGCAAATCGAAGGTGAGTGATGTACTCGCCATTGATGTTAATACCGTATCCTTTCCAGTCCAGTAGCTTGAAAACGTCTTCCAATGCAGCGGTGAAGAGTTTCGGGGATATAACGTCACCCTGTCTTACACATCTCTGGTTCTGTACTCGAATAGCCATCGTAGCCCTACTGTACGAACACTTCAGCACTTCGATATACCGACAGTCAACTTGGCACCGCTGAAGGGACTGTAGCACCGCCCAAATTTCGACGGAATCAAAGGCTTTCTTATAGTCCACATACGCCAGGCAAAGAGGCAGATTGTACTCTTCGGTCTTGAGTACAAATACCGCAGGGTATGTATGTGGTCTATGATACTGAAGCCTTTTCGAAAACACGCTTATTCGGGAGGCTGGAAGTCGTCGAGTCTGCGTGCGAGACGATTCGTAATGACTCTCGAAAACAGCACGTAGCCGCGGCTCAGAAGGGAAATCGGTCTGTAGTTCTTCAAGAGAGCGTTGTCGCCTTTCTTAAAGAACAAGACCACCGCACTTCTGCTCCACGCCTCCGGAGTAGTGCCACCATGGAGGACGGAATTGAAGAGCTTCTGAAGGACTTTAAGTACCGGTACTTTACTCTCAATCTCCACTAATTCATTTTTACACTTTAGATCACTGCCTATCTTCACCCTTAAGAATTTTGAAACTTCTACAGATTTTACAGGGCTGTGTTGTTTCTGACATTATTGCGGAAGAACATAACATTTGTTTTGTTAGTATTGATTGACAGGCTGTTAACAGTAAACAATATTCTCATGGATTCTAATATTTGGTTTATTTTAATTTCTTAAGCTGTTATTTCAAAGGCTGACATAACAGTATTTGTATCATTTACAAAGGGGACTAGCTTTGTCCAGTCTGTCATTTTACATACATAATGCTTTAAGTCATTAATAAAAGTAATAAATAATATGGGACCTAAAATGAGGAGCCCTGAGGTATCCCACTCTTAGACCCACTTTTATGTTATAATAATTTTGGACTTCGTCACAATTTCAGACATACTTTCTTTCGCCGTTTTATTTTCACGAACATTTTTCTGTTTCGTAAGTAGGATTGAATAAATTTCAGTGCATGTCCTCGAACCCCATAATAATGCAATTTTTCCAAAAGAAGATTGTGATTGATGGTATCGAACGCAGAGCTCAAATCGAGAAATAGTGCATTCTATGTACCAATGTTCTTTTGATAACTAAATTGCCCCATATCAATAACACTGTTTAACTAATAGTAGTATTGTCGTTTATTTTAATGTAATTAAATAACGCGCAAAATTGTGAAATTATTTTACTTACAGAGGTGAATTGTGGGTGTTTGGTGGGGAGTTCACCAGTCCAACGGAGACACAGTTCTATCACTACAAGGATCTATGGTGTTTCTCACTGGCTGATAAGAAATGGGAGAAGGTATGCCATAATATTATTTCAAAATTGTTTTCATTACTATTAGCTTCCTAAAAATATAGATGTAACTTGAGTTTCATCTGAAAATTAGGAGGAAGAAATATTAAAATTATACACAATTTAAGTATGTACTTTACCTATATGGGATAATATAACATTATAACGCTGGTCAATCCGATGTGAAAATATAGAACACTTGTTTATAAAGAAAAAAGAAATACGTTCATTTGGTACAAACAATAAAACAAAAATGGTTTCTATTAGTTTTAAGAGGATTGTGAAGCGTCGATACGCGGCGAGAGTAGATTTTTTTTTTCTTCAAAAATGCTATCTGTTTCAAATCGCTCGCTGTGTATCGGCGTCTTGCGATAGAGAGAGTTGCAAATGTTGGAAGTAATTGCCTACATTTTCTTCTTAAAATACTGTTTCGAGCGATAACGTTTTCACCCCCTAAACCTTTACGAAATGAGACAATTTTGGTCTCATTAGATTCAGTATATCTTAGTTTAGGTCTGTACGTTTTTCTTTTTTAGAAATGCGGTTTAGTATAATTTTAAAAAACGCTCGAGGAAGTTTTTTAGTAAAAAATATAGATATTTTGAGGCTAATAACTTATCATACGCAATATTTCCTTAAAATGAAAACGTACGGGCCTAGTTTTTCATTATATCTACAATATTTCCAAATATAAAAAATAATGAAAATTAGATTATGTTTAAGGGAAAATATTATCGCTTTTTGTATGAAAATTTACAGCTTCACAATCCTCTTAAGACATGAATTGAAGTCGAACAACAGTTTGTGACGCTGGTTTGCAGTGGAGCCAGGAGTGTGAAATGATTGACATATAGCGATAGAAAAAATGTGAGAACAACAAGAAAATGATGAACTAAACGTAATAAATTATAACATATTAGAATAAGCACACATGGCTGTATAGTGCCGGTGTGGCGGCGCTGTCGTCGCGCCACAAGCGAAATACATCGAAGCCTAAATCACGCTATCAACATTCCGAATTATAAACAGTATATATAGAACACCTCCGAATTATCACACGGAGTGCTGGCCGCTCCCCGGGCAGAACACCTTGCCCGGCGGGGAGATCTCCCTCTTTTCCCTCCACGGCCACAGTCGGTGTAAGATGTTTTACCCCATATCAACTTGTGGGTGTCATAAGCGATAATAGCTTAAACCTTCCTGATAATAGCTTAAAATAATAAAGAATTGTGGTTGCCAACCTGCCTGCCAAGCATGCCAAGTGTCACGCTATAAGGCAATCTGTGGGGGAGGCTTATGTCCACCGGGGGATATTTGATAGGCAAAATATCTACAAACGTGGTAGAAACACGCTGCAGCTATATTATGGTTGTAGAATGAATGGTCGGCTCGACCGGGAAGGACCACGCTCTCACAGAATACCAGCTTAAAATAGCAGCGTGATGCTGCTGTGTTTCGTATGGTGAGGCATTCAATCTTAGTCCTCACGGGTAACAACGCATCTGCATTTTGATTCTTACTTGAGGATAGATGCAGATATGGCAATAACAGGTCGATAAGAATTACCTGTAGTGTGTCGTCAAATACTCAATATTTATAAAGAATTCCGACAAAAAAAAATTGCCACCAGGCAACGCCACTTAGGAATGAGGTGAAATGCTTGACAGATTTTATGGCCGGAGAAGTTAATTGGTTCAGTGTTTTCTTTTTTCTTTCTCAAACAAACTATTATTCACAAAAATTGAAAAGTTGGGTAAAAAATGTGCAAAAAATTACAGAGGCCACTGAGGCATTGTTTTGTGTATTTACACACTTTAGAAACCAATAAGCTTTTATTAAAAATATAAAGTACTTAATATAGCATAGGTATGTATGTTTTTATATGGTTTGTAGCATGAATGGGTCGGCTCAACCGGATAAGGACTACACTCTCACGGAATACCAGCGTTAAATAGCAGTTTAATGAAGCTGTGTTTCGTATGGTGACTGTAGAGAACCTAAGATCCTTTTCACTGGAAACAAGGGATTCCATCTTAGTCCTCAGGGGTTACAGACAATGTATCTGAATTTTAATTCTTAATTGAGGATAGATGTAGATGTCTACGGCCACAACATCTTTCTATCTGATGTACTGTGTGCTCATTTGTCGCACTTATTTACTTCTATATTTTTAACCCAACAACCCAACTATATCTCAAGTAAAAGTGGTAAGCGTAAAATTATCAGCTCTTATTAGCTCGGGCAGATCTATGTTTTTCTTATATTTTAATATAAAATAAATTCATCTTATTTACTTAAGATAAGCGGTAATTCGGGAATCTTATTCAGACCGTTTTAGTTTCAGTTTCAGTTACTTTTTATTTTCAGGTGATAGCACCAAATGGTCCATCTCCCCGTTCTGGTCATAGAATGGTACTTCTTGGCCGCAAGTTGCTCGTTTTTGGGGGGTATTGTGACGATGGCCGTGAATGTCGTTATTTTGACGACTTGTATGCATTCTGTCTCGATACCAGGAGTTGGGAGAAACTGTCACCGAGTGGTAGAGGTCCCAGCGCCAGGTCTGCTTGTATAATGGTCCCAACTGGTAATGAATCTGTAAGTAGTTTCAATTGCTTTTTTTTTTCTAAATCCTTATAGTGGTTTGTAAAAATAAAACACAAATATTCCATATTGTGTGCTGAAAGGTCCCGGGTTCGAATTCTGGTTCGGGCTGAAAATCTGCCCGGAGTCTGGAAGTTGGTAGTGGTTCACCTCCGTGCGAGGCACCCTTTTCCGAGGGGAAAGCACCTACGCTTGATCCAACGACTACACAGCCCGAATAGACGACTCGTGCAAGGCAAACACTTTCTGTTAATACGTTAGACAAATACGTCTTAATTAAGAAAATGATCGCACGATCTACTTTAGTAGCGACCACTTCCCTGACCCGTGAATATCTTGCATGTGACTCGTGAATTTTCGACAAAATAAAATACAACAGATGCGCAACATGGTTCCCTGTACAATAAAATAAAGCGGAAATACTAGCCAAATGTGTAATTTCAATAAAATGGCATCACTGTTCATAGATAAGTGAATTTTAATTTCCAAATTCATTAATTAAAATTAAATCAGAGCTCAACCTGTATTTGTCACAAGCAACTCGCGTTGATTTATTCGGACATCTTCGGATATTTTCGGACTATGCATCCCTTTCTTTTCAATGCAGTTCATTGTTGCTATACTTTTCTTTAATTACCGGCACATGTAACTAGTACTGTACCAGTTGAACTATACTATTGGTACAAGTAAATATTATGCATGTTATCCTGAATGTTTTACAGACTTATGCTACAGGCGACATAGGTGTAAGCTGAATTTTTTTTAGTGAATGTATGTATCCATATTTGAATTAATTGATTTCATAATTAAATCAAATTATTCAAAACTTCTTAAAAAATTCATAATAAAATTGATATAATTTTTAATTGACAATAAAGAATAGCTCTCTATACTGCTGTCAAGACAAGTAGGAAACGGAAGTGAACTTGACAGTTTAAATAACTGTTGCTGTTTTATTTTTAATAGTATTCTATTATTATTTCAATATAAAAAAACAATATAGTAAAGAAAGCTTGTTTTAATAAAAAATATACTTTAAAACAAAATATATTATAATTATTAAAATTTTTTTTTTATTTTCTACTAATTTACAGTAGAATATAATTCTGGTACTGATTAAGTAGACTTGGTACCAAATTTATTAGTTAAAGTTCCCATCACTATTTGCTTATTAGCATGTGCCATAACCTTCATTTTAACCAATTAGCGTGCATTTCAACCCGCCTCCCCCGTACCGCTTCCTCAGACTTGACAGACAGGTTTGGATGCAAAGTACATACATTAGGCGTCTATTCGGTCTTTGTAGTCGTTGGCCTGATCTCTATCTGTCCGTGTTTATGTCCGTTTACCGTACTATTGGACTATGACAGTGAGGGAATAGATAGTGCACTTGTGTTTGCGCATACAGTCGACTCTATACTCCTGCTCTGCGCAAATGGCTAGTCTCCGTTGACATTGAGCGCTGTGACCGAAACTTAGTCTGGAGGACGTTATAACACTAATTTTGTTTTTCATAGTTGATAGTGTACGGCGGGTTCTCTCGGGCGCGCGACGGTCGAACTGAACGCACACTTACGCACACGGACATGTTCCGGCTGACGAGCAAGAGCGGCGCGTGGGCGTGGCGCTCGCTGTCCAGCGGTGGGCGCACAGCCCGAGCAGGACTCGCCGCTGCTGTCAACGTGCACGCGAATAAGGCTTATGTGTTTGGGGGAGTAAGCGTGAGTATTGTTTGAAAATAGTGTTACTCTTAAAATTTTTGTGAAAAATCGTTTAATATTGTTTTGGACATTCTGTTGGACCTGCATTTTTTCCTCAATGAGTTCATCGAAAAACAGGCAAGAATTTTAAAAATCATAAGTTTTGATCCAGCAAAAAGGACACCTTTAGAAAATATCAATATACCAAGCACATCCCTTTTTACTCATTTGATATGTGTGTATTTTTTTTTATATAATAATGGTGACAAACCAGCACACAGTCCGCCTGATAGTAAGTGGATGCTGTGGCCCATAGACATCTACATTTATCCTTGATTAAGAATCAAAATGCAGATGCGATGTCACCCTTGAGAACTAAGATGAAGTGTAAAAAGGGTATCCGGTTCTCTACACTCACTTCTAATTTTCTATAATTTAAAATACACGTGAATTTGTTGCCTCCCATCCAGCTTATTATTTCAAGAAGGGCATCAATAAACTGCCACTGCGTTGGCGAAGATGCATCGATTGCATATGTGATTACTTTGATTAATAGAAATAAAAAGTATAAAAAAATACGTTAACTTATTTCATAAAAGAAGGCAATTTCATAGGTAAACACCTATAATATTCTTGCACTGCCATTACATGGTTATATGGTGCCATTACATCGTATGTGGTAGGTAATATACCATAATGATGTAACATTTATTTTCACATACACACTTTATTTACAGGATGTTGAAGAAACAGAAGAAGAACTACGCGGAGAAATGAGCGACGAACTGCAGCTGTTAGATTTAGAAACAGGCCGATGGCACAACGTAACCTTACGAGTCGATCAGCAAGCCCCTGCACCAGCGCACGCTGAGGTGAAAAGTGAGGACTTACCATCGGAACCGGTCACAGGTACCAGATTATTTTCACTTTACACCTCGTTAACTTCAAGCATTCTTTGTGTTATGTTCGTCAAAAGTTTTTGGCATTTTTATGATACAAAATGCTAATCTAATTTGCTTGTAATATAGTGGCAGTTAATAGATCATTTGATTGATCGATGCTCAACGTGATTTGAAGATGATTTCATATAAACTGTTATAAAATTCAGAAATCCACCCGCGCCCGTTCGATCCACAGCTGTGACATAATTTTTATAGATATTTTAACGCTATTTTGATCTGATTTAGGGATTATCGATGTTTTTGCACATGTATTTGATGAGTTAGAATTAGATGGATAAAGAAAATAAACATGTTGTACATGCTTTATTATTGTTACGAGTTTAGGGTTCGTGACAATAAAAACTGCCGATTGAATTACCCAAATTAACACTTTAATTACCAAACACCAATTAGAACTTAAAAAAAACACTAATAATTAATCACACTGATCACTTTTAATTCACTTTATTTCGCTCCGAAGCTTCGCTTGCGTAGCCAAATTCAATACTGCCCCGATCGTGGCTATCAACTGCTTTATATTGGGCCTTTCCACCGAAGCATCCAGAATATTCCAGCAAATACGGGCGCCGAGCGACCAGGCGCAGAAAGTTCGAGTGTGGGGCTTCTAGAAAGCTTAATTTTTCTGTTCGATACTAGATGGCGCTGTTGGTAGAAAGTTCAAGATTAGCATTTTCTAGGAAGCCCTCCTTGATCTGTTCCCCGACACTAGATGGCGCTAGTGCCAGGTGCCAGACATCATCTTAGGCGCGCAACATTATTAATGAAATAAAAGAAATTAATAAACTATGCACTTAGCTTAAAACTGTAGTTAAAAAGATTGGAAAAAGTTAACAAATGTCTAGTTCATTTGTTAAACAGTCTAATATTGTTTGACGATTGAAGAGATAGTAATTTTGACTAAGAAGTACCTTTCAATCTGTTTCTCTGTTAGTAAAGAGTTGAGCCAGCCTTTGAAAATAACCTTCCGATAATTGATTATGGGTTCATTGACATCGATGTTTGCCATGTGGCAACATCGATGTTTTAATTTTTAACATCGATGACAGACTCTGATTAACATAACTATATAAAAAATAAATAAAAAAGTTAATAAGTAGGTGTCTTCAGCTCTCGTCGCTCATCACAACATTGGTCACATGGTTGTGGTTTATTCGCAGTGATATCGGACGACGTGTTCACGGTGCGGTTGGGGGGAGCGAGAGCGAGCGGCGCGAGCGAGACGGACGACGTAACGCGCGTCCGTCCCGCTCGCGCGGGTGGGCCGGGCGCGCGCATGAGCGCCATGTTGGCCGCGCACCGCTCCGTGCTCTACGTGTACGGCGGTGTGCTAGAGCGGGACGACAAGCAGTTCTACCTCGCCGACATGTACAGCCTCGGTAAGTGCGAGCGAGATAGATATAGCTACATAACTTTGTTTTATTACTGTTGGCGGTTGAAATGACATATTATAATTAGTGATCGGCGTAGGTGGTGCCTTTTTGAACTTGAATGATAATGTTAAAAATGACGTGTTCCGAGATTCGATGTATTTATCTTTATCCTTCTCAATAGTTTGTGGCTTTATCACAGTAAACACAAACTACACTAGTGAGTGCCTGTATGATTGCGCACACACTTACACATTATTTAGTATCACTTCCGAGTAGTAAATACTTTGTAATTGTCAAATCTACAAATAATAAATTAAATCCACTACCCTATTCCATCTAAAGCAGTGTTGCCAAGTCTACGGAATTTGAGTTGAAGCTTACGGAATTTGATTTCCATATTAATTTAAAAAATGTACTTCACAGGCCTTTCAAAAATAATTAAAATTTTAAAAACTTTACATTTATCATGAGTGTGAACTTAGCCGACAATCGACAAATCAAATCAAAAATTTTAACAATCGAAGTATATTTTTAGTACAACTATCCACAAATATTTAAGTGTTAATTATTTCATTTGTTTTTTACTAAAAATAATTTAATTAAAAGAAAACAATTAATATGTAATCTATTTGTATGGTACTTTTTTCTTATATTTGTAATTTTCTTGATTCGATGTTATACTGCAATTGAACTTACAAGAATTTTCATGACGGAAAGAATTTGTCCAAAAAATTTATCTATTCTATGACAAAAACAAAAATTTTCGATTCTCTTAAGAAGTCTGCGGATTTTCTAGGGATATTTTGAAATAGCATCTGCGGAATACCTTGGAAATTTTTATATCAATCTTGGAAAAATTCGAGTTGGTAACACTGCCCGTGAGTGTCATAAAAGGCGACTATGGGATATGCCATTAAGATCTTATGATTTTTGATGGATGGCGGTGTAAACATCTTGTTTACACCAAACTTAAAATACAAAGACTGGCAATGGCGGGCAGCGGTAAAGGTGCGAGACGTCTGGTGCTATAATCTCCAATCCGTGACGTGGTGATTAGATCTAATTCTCCCTAACAACGTGAGGAGTCTATGTGCAACAGTGGCCTTTTCCAGGCTGGTGAAGAAGTGAAAAACAAGGGATTTTGGATTTTATGATGATTGATGATGATTTTACGAGTAGATGCTGTGGCCTATAGTAATCTACATCTATACTCGGCTAAGAATTCAAATGCATGCGTTGTCACCACTGAGGTCTAAGATGAAATACCTCATTTCTAGTAGAAGGGGTCTCTAGTTCTCTAAAAATATTAAAAATAGTGAGGTACATTCTGTAAATACTAGAAACAAGCATAAGTTAGTTATACCATTTACTCGACTCCAAAAAGTCAGTTATTCCTTCATGGGGCAAATTATACGCTTTTACAACAAAGTCCCAGAAATATGTAGACCTTATCTATCAAAAGGTTCAAAACATTTATTAAGCAAAAATTAGTTAATAAATAATTATACTACTAAAGATTACATGATTGATAATAATAATGTCCTCCAGACCGAATTTCGGTCACGGCGGCCTGCCTCAACGGAGGCTAACCATCCGCGCAGGACAGGATTTTAGTGCCCAAGTGTATGCGTAAGCACAGCTGCACTTTCTATTCCCTTACTTTCATAATCCGAAGGGACAGTAAACCGACACGACCGGGAGAGAGATCAGGCGCAGGACCAACGGCTTTACGTACTTTTCGAGGCACGGGGGTGAGACACCGCCAACTTCCTGACTCCGGGCAGCTACTGAGAATTTCTTGACAGAAAAACTCAATAATTAATTTTGTTGGCCCGAACCGGGATTCGAACCCTCATGATCAGCAGTCGCACTACTACAACCACTAGACCAACGAGGCAGTCACATGATTGATAATAATCTCTGGGAATGAGGTGATGGCTACCATGCAGTTTCTAAATGTATTTTCATAACAATCGTATACATATTGTAAGTTATGCTTTTTTTTTAAAAGTCCCACTGTGTTTCTTGCTGGTGCTTCCCAGGACAGACGTTTCTTTCCGAACTGGTGGTAAAAGTAAAAAATAACTGGAATAAGAATTGCATGTAATTAATATTGATTAAAAATGATTCTATCCTACACTCACCATACGAAACACAGCAGTCTTCCTCAGTCGAGCCGATCCATTCATGATACAACTATATAGCTGACTGCCGCGTTGGTCTAGTGGTTGTAGTAGTTGGCGGTGTCTCACCCCCGTGCCTCGAAAAGCACGTAAAGCCGTTGGTCCTGCGCCTGATCTCTCTCCGGTCGTGTCGGTTTACCGTCCCATCGGATTATGAGAGTGAGAGAATAGAGAGTGCACCTGTGCTTGCGCATACACTTGGGCACTGTTGAGGCTGGCCGCCGTGGCCGGAATTCGGTCTGGAGGACATTTGGATTTAGATTTTGGATGTAGCCGCAGCATGGCTCTAATACGTTTAAAATAACGGATCAATTTTTTTATTATTTAATCTTTACAGATTTGCACAAATTGAACGATTGGAAAACTATAGTCGAACAGCCCTCGTTGCCCGATTGGCTCGGCTCCGAATCTGAAGAGGAGTCGGGCTCTGACGACGAGTCGGACGACAGTGAGGAGTCGGACGACGAGTAAGCCAACTTACAGGTTTAGTTGAAATGACCAAGACTTTCTGCCGCTTGGGCTGTGCCACTTTCGAATGAGGTGTAATATTTGTCAGACTTTAAGACGGGGGGAAGTTAATTTGTTATATAAGTGAAAAGAATAATGTTTCTTTGTAAAATATTAGTTATGTTGTATATTAACTATCCAATGATGATAAGGTCTTAGTACGAAGACTTAGGGCGTCAAAAATGTGTTCACAAATATCTGCTTCAGATTGACAAAAATGTGACCGAAATAAATATTGTAAAATATTGTTTTAAATATTAAGTGAATGTTAGGTGCTTAATATAAAATATGTAAAAATATAAAATATGTAAAATTTTAAAAGTCTATTTTATTTATTTGTTGCTTATGTTGCAACATTCCGTATTTCCCACATTTACTCCCCTGCAACTATACTATAAAAAATTTCAGTGTCCCGGTAAGAATTATTCACTTGCAAAAAATATGTAAAACCTGTTGTTGGTTTCTTTTATCATTAATAAAGGCACTCGGAATCGGATTTAGATATTTGATTTTTTTTTTGTAACGTTTTTTTTTATAAAAGAAGGGGCAAACGAGCACGTTTAAAATTTTTTTTATTATTTCACCTTCTCATAAAATTTATTTTGTTTTAATTTTCTTTTCTCTAAAATAAAAATAATTTGTACGGACACCGGTTCACCTGATGTTGAGTGACTACCACAGCCCATGATCAACCGCAACACCAGGGGAATTGCAGATGCTTTGCCGGCCCTTTAGAAAGGAGTGAGCTCTTTTCTTGAAGGTCCCCAGGTCGTATCGGTCCGGAAAAATGGCCGGTGGTAAACTATTCCACAGAGAGGTCGTGTACGCGGAAGAAAACTCCTTCTGAAACGTAGTGGTGGACCGCCAAGCATCCAGATGGTGTGGATGGTATCGGGAGGTTTGCTGCGTAGTGCGTTCATGAAATTTGGCGGCTGGGATTAATCCGAACAATACCGCAGAGTACTCCCCGTGATAGATGCGATAAAATACGCAAAGAGATGCAACATCTCTTCGCAGCGCCAGTGAATCGAGCCGATCGGAAAGCACTCGGTCGTTGACAATTCGAGCCGCTCTGCGCTGGATGCGGTCAAGTGGAAGGAGCTGGTACTGGGGAGTCTTAGCCCAGAGATGGGAACAGTATTCCATGTGCGGCCGAACCTGCGTCTTGTGAAGTTGCAGGCGGTGTGCCGGCATGAAATACTGTCCCGCTTTGTTGAGCACACCAAGCTTTTTATAGGCCAATTTGGCCTTCTCTTCCAAGTGACCACGAAACTGCACGTCACTCGATATGTCGACGCCGAGGATTCCCATACTGGCTGAGGCAACAAGGGGAGTGCCTTGAAACTGAGGGGATACGACAAAGGGGTTCTTTTTGCGGTTAACGCGCAAACTTATGTCTTCTGGGGGTTAAACTGGACTAGATTTAGTCGCCCCCAATCCGAGACTCTGTTCAGCAGAGACTCGACTTGAGACACAAGTTTGTCCCGGTACCGGTACTCGAAGACATTTTCCCGAAAAATATTGGCACGGCCGGTGTAAAGAGCATCACCAGTGTTGTCATCTGCATAGCAGTGAATGTTACGGGCTTGCAACATATCATTGATATGCAGAAGACAGCGTTGGCGATAGCACGCAGGCTTGTGGAACACCAACATTAATAGGCTTGTAATCGGAGCTTGCACCGTTTACAACGACCTTGATGCTCCGATCTGCAAGAAAGCTGGTGATCCAATTGCACAATTTCTCGGGAAGCCCATAGGAAGGAAGCTTCGAAAGAAGCGCTTTGTGCCAAACCCGATCGAAGGCCTTCGCAATGTCCAAACTAATGGCCCATGCCTTGGACTCTACTGCTGTCGCCCATTTATGAGTCAGGTAGACCAGATCACCAGCTGATCAATCACGACAAAAACCGTATTGGCGATTACTAATCAGCTGGTGATTCTCAAGGTACCTCAAGAGCTGGCAGTTTACAATGGATTCCATTGTTTTGGGAAACAAGGAGGTGATGGTGAAGGGCTTGTAGCTGGACGGGTCTGAGCGGTCGCCTTTTTTAGGGATCGGGTGGACGAAAGCCGCTTTCCATGATTTTGTGACCACGCCTAGAGAGTAGGAGTACCGGAAAAGGCGCGTTAAGACCGGTGCCAACTCTGAAGCACACGTCCTCAGCACAATTGGGGGGGATACCGGCAGGCCCAATCGACTTGTGGATGTCCAGGGAGAGGAGTGCTTTGCGAACCGAGCGCGGTGTAAATCGCACATCCGGCATGGAGCACTCACACCGCGGGATGGGCGGCGGTGTGTTCCCCCGTCATCGAGAGTCGAGTTGGACGCTAAGAAAGAGCCTAGCAGATCGCCTATCTCCTTTGCGATATGGGTCAGTGAGTCGTCTTCCCTGTGTGGAGATGGCTGACAGAAATTTTCCTGGACAGCCTCGGCAAGAGACCAGAATGCACGGGTTCCAGAAGGAAGGCGATGTAGTTTTTAGCCAATTCTGCCTATGTGCTCTGACTTTGCAAATTTTAGACTTTATAAATAAGTTATTATCACACTCAATCGGCTTATAATACGTGCTTATACGTACTGTTACGGCTATACGTACGTAACGGCTTATAGTACTGTTACGGCTGCCAGTTGCGTATTGCGTCACATTGCACTAGAATGTTCCCGACGATAAGGGTCAGTGGCTTTTGACAAGTAGTAAAATGTGTAGGCATAAAAATACATAACGTTTGTACTATAAATGTAAGCAAAAAGCAACCTTATTGTATAAATATTATATTCTAAGTTATGCTTTCTTTTAAGTCCTCTAAACTCTCTCTAATTACTATAATGCCGCTAAGCCTACCTTAACGGCACTTAGTATTTGATTTACATTTAATTTATTGACATGAAAAATTCTGAAAAAATCTCCATTACTAAACTATAATGCCACTAAATACTTTAACCTTTAATGTCGCTAAATACAAAACATCAAAATTTAACGGCGTTCTAGTTTTGAAACTGGAGCATGATAGTTGAGGAAATCAAAGAAAATGGTGGTTAAAATAAAAACAAAAGAGCTTATTTGAGAATATAAATCAATAATTTAATGACACAGTCTTGTTTAATTTTAACAAATTCACCTTGTGAGGACTTACTTACAATAATTGAAAATGAGATCTTAGCAAATAACTAAAAAATACATAAATACAATCTTCATCTTATATATAATGATATCTTATGAAATTACTAAAAATATTTCAAAAATACCTTTTTCAAACTAATTTTGAAATCTTTGAAATAAATAAGAGACATTCAATAACAATTGTATTTACGTTTTGGTACGCAATAAAATACTTGAGCAAATAGAACCTGCCTGCTCTCTATTAATTAAATTTTTTTAATAAAAAGACTTTGTGATCACTTAGTGCATTAAATCTGTAATAATCTAATTATTTATTAAGCAACTAACATAGCGCTAAGTAACGTAATTATCCTACAAGGATCAAGGTTTCTCTTTTTACTAAAATATGAAAAAAAAATTTAAAAGACCATGAACATGCCGCTCCCCGCTATGCATCCTCATGGTCCTTTACTGGCAATATTTTCCAGAATATCTGTTCACGGATGGGAATTATGCTGGATAGTTTTTCAATAATGTCATTTTTCTTGTAAAATCTATTCCTTTTGGCTTCGAGCGGAATTGAACTTTAAAAATATTGGGATTCTTTAAATACTTGTTATTCATGAATCTCAATGTTTCATATTCGTCATCAAGAGCATCTTGTACATAAGGTCATAATTATTACGTGTTAAACGTACTTGACAAATGTTTTTTATGTAAGCTCTTGTATACGAGTTTTGAACTTTTCTGTCGGATATAAAATTTGGTATATTGAGGAAATATGCAGGTGACAAAGATTTCACAATGTTTTTTGCTTTATTAATTGAAGCGGCTGCTACTTCAAAGTTCCAAAAATCATAAAGTTTACTTTTTCTTCACGGCCAACTCGGCTTGATGATGCTGGGCCCACTCCACACATACAGTACAGTCTTTGACAATCTGATTACCGACATCATGTGATGTTTCTTTTTTATGCAAAGTTTAAGCTTCACATATTTCGCACTCTTAATTACCCAAAAGAGTAAAGTAAATATTTTTTACGTGCATAGTATAGTTCATCCGAAACGATCTTATCTAGGTATTTTTTACAAAAATGTCTATGCATGTTAGTTACACTAATATCACTTGACAAAGATCGTCGCAGTGGAGCATGTTCACGCCTATAGTAGGATTCTGATGGGCTCGGGTGGGAACGATTCAACGTACTGAGTTAAAAAAATCACGGTCATTAGCAAGTGTTTTCTGGTGCTTTCCTCTTTTATCCGTAAATTGGGGATCTATGAAAGAGTTATACAAAAACCTGTTGTTAGTTTTAACATAACCTAAGGTAGTTAAAAAAAATTTCGCATACCTCAACTCTGTTGTCGCCTAGTTGTGTAAATGTAAATGCCCTTCTTGGTTTCCTTTTCGGATCACTGGTTGTTTTTTCCTTTGGAATTGCTTCTGAAGTGTGTGCATTCACGAATAAATGCTTTTCTCGCCACGGCAAGTTCCAAAATATTTTATTAATTGCTTCTCGCTTGATCTCGCCTTGATTAAATTTAGAAATACATATTTTTAGACAGGTTTCGTTGCATCCCGTTTTAGCATTATGTTGTAATCTTTTTTTTAGTTTGAAATAAGGGAGTGTTATATTTTTTACGTTATTTGTTTCGATTGTGATGCTTCAGGTTCCAAAGTGACTGCAAAAAATTCATTGGCTTAATACAATGTTTGATACGCACCAACATCAATGGTGTTTCTACAACTGCGAAGAAGTAGTAACGTTGCAATATCTTTATCAACACTAAGAAAATTAATTGAACTTCTGCGTTTACACTGCAACGTTTTTCTTTCTTGAATAAAAGGAACAGTGGCAAGA